GAATTGAACTAGGGTTGAACTAGAATATAGAAAAATAGAAAGTTTTGGCTTCGTGCTCTGATAAGAATTGAACTAGGGTTGAACTAGAATATAGAAAGTTTTGGCTTCGTGCTCAGATAAAATTGAACTAGGGTTAAACTAGAATATAGAAAGTTTTGGCTGCGTGCTCAGAAAAGAATTAAACTAGGGTTTAACTAGAATATAGAAAGTTTTGGCTGCGTGCTCAGAAAAGAATTAAACTAGGGATTAACTAGAATATAGAAAGTTTTGGCTTCGTGCTCAGGTGAGGGGGCACTAAGGGGACTAAGGGGCACTGGATGTGATTTGATTTTACTTTCATAAATAGTACTATATAATAATATATAGTTATATATACAATACAGGTAACCCTAGGCCCCTTCAAAATCCCATTACAGCGTTTGAAGTTGAGCTTGCGGCCAAGAAACTCAAGAACGGTAAAGCTGTTGGACCAGATGGGATCCCAAACGAGTTCCTCAAACACTCTCCTGAAATCTTTTATTCCACATTTGCACAACTTACTAATCGATCTTTTGAGCTCCATGAACATGTACCTTCTTTCACAGAGGGATACCTTACTCCGCTCCAAAAACCTGGAAAGCCACTAGGCCCCCCTAAGAGTTTGCGCCCACTTTGCCTACTTAACGGTACTAGAAAGATATTGTCCATGATAGTCTTAAAGCGCATCCCAAGGCAAGTATCTCAGTACACTGGTCCTTGGCAGAATGCCTATAAACCTGGCCATAGTTGTGCAAATATCGTTTGGACCCAGCGAATACTAGTATCAGTTGTCAAGGAAAAACGCTGGTCTCTTCATAAGATGGGCATTGACATGTCCTCTGCTTTTGATACCATAAAGAGGTCGGTATTACTTGACATTTTAGCTGATGCTGGTTGTAGTGAGGATGACATTCGACTGGTAAGGTATTTGCTCGCAAATACTAAACTGAAATCAAAGTGAACTCAACAATATCGGGAGAGTTTATTGTCACGATTGGAGCTTTTCAAGGCGACAGTTTGTCTTGAAACTTGATCACTCTATATCTGGCAGCAGCACTTTACCACCTGCGTGCTGTTATGTCCTATCTAAGACCTAACCCTCCCATAGCTGAGAATCTGTTACCCCTCGAGTGGGAGTACGCAGATGATGTTGATTTTACTGATGAGGATAAAAGCAATTTGGAGTCTTTGTTGCCAATATGTAAAGAGATATTGGAAGAGTGGAATCTTTTTGTCAATGAGTCAAAAACCGAGTTCACCCATTTCTATCTGGCCGGCAAGAACGAGGTTGATAACAAAGGAGAAACACTCAGAGGTAGAGAACCTTGGAGGTCATCTATCTCTTTAGGCTCTAAGTTGTGTAGCATCGAAGATGTCAAGAGACGATGTATACTTGCTAACATTGCTTTTCAGAACTACAAAAAAGTCTGGGAACAAGGTAGACGTATACCCTTGAAGATTCGACTCAAGATATATGAAGCACAAGTTGTTTCAATACTGATGTATAATTGCAACAGTTGGGCAACATCTAAACAACTCCTTCAAAAACTTGATGTCTGCCACAGGAATCATCTCCGTACGATCATCGGCATGACCTACCCTAATGTCATACGAAATGTGACTCTATACAAACGCTGCGAAGTTGTACCACTAAGTGAGCGTGTTGCTCGTGCACGGTGGAGAATGCTCGGTCACATCCTCCGCAGTGATAATAACTCACCTGCCCAGCTTGCCTTACATTTTGCTGTAGAGAGTCAGAGTTTGATGAGAGGTAGAGTCGGACGACACCAGTCAAACTTGTTAAAAACTATTTTGAACGATTTAAGTGATAGAAACTTTAGACTTGTAAATACAGACGATTTATACCATTTAAGATTTTTAGCGACAGATAGAAAAGCATGGAGAGAGTTAAGCATGATTTAGTTTATTCTGTGTTATTTTTCTCTTGGTGACTTATCAGGTCATCAAGATGTTCTTTATGTTCTATTTTTGATTTGAATAAAGTTATATAATAAATAATACAATACAGCAATAATATAAAAGAAAGACGCGAAATCATGAAGCATAACGTGCGGTTAAAACTGTCCTTAAAAGACTAAATTGCATAAATACCATTCATGGTTATTGGTTAAATGGTGCAAGTTCTGGAGATATACTATAACTGGTAATAATTCTACCCCAGACCAGGGACAAAAGGATTTCGCGATTATTTTGGCCCAATTTCGCGATACCGCGATTTTTAACAGACTATACATTAAACTATACATAAAATTTGTCGCAAAAAATGGGAAAAATCGCGATTTCGTACATGCCGCGATTTCCTTTTGTCCCTGCCCCAGACTCATCATAACCAACACCATCTAGAAATGAAAACGTGGTAACTAGGGACATAACTTTACAAGTGGGAATTAAAGGAACACTTGAAGAATGGCCATCGCTTCACCTTTTCTCTGTTTTAGTTGAATAACTGGCTACAGTCCTAATCTTACAGATTAACCACCATTATATTTGGCTGGTTGAAAATATCAACTTAACTCCGTTTTAACTCAATAATTCGGTAAAATTGAAAGATTCAGTAATGTAATGCAATTAGTAACAATCAATAACATCATCAGAAACGCCATTAAATTCAAATGATTTAATAAAAAATGTAATTTATTTAACAATACGAATGATAATAAAACAAATAGTTATCGTGTCGAAAATTGAACAAAGTTAACAATTAACTCCACATTTCCCATATGGTCTACGACTTCTACACAACATAATGCCTCATGATGTCGTTTATTTTTAGTTCTCTTCGCTGTATTGTATATATATTATTTGTAAAAGTTTCAAATCGAATCAAACCATAAACTACAAAAGTCATGATTCGTGTAGTAATAGCACTATCTAAGATTTACACCGTCGGGCCCCAGGACATCGCGCAAAGCTCAATCATGTAAAGATTGAATGGGGGCTCTGAATAACTTAATTTTACGAAGGATATATATAGGTGGTTCATAGTTTACCATCGTCTGATCGAATATGTCACAACCACATTCAGCCATTGTCGCGACGTATCGAGTAATTCCGTTTTTTTTACGTGACACGTGAAACCGCATGCTCAATGCTCATAAGACAAAGGGGATTCTCGAAGCGCGAGGATTATCATCAAAATCTCAATAAACGGAATACATTAAAATTGTGGTGCTCTTTGCTCTTTTTTTATAAATGACGATTAAATTTGTCCAATGAAATGGCTTCTTTTGAATATCTAAAGGTTGGTATGACGTTCAGAGGTATTTAGTGTCTTTGATCATGAGCGGCACCGGACCCGCAATCTTTCTCTTGTTCGTAGCCTATTTACATTTTAGAATTGCTCCATAATCTGACGACCTTGTACTAGACCACTTAGTGATCATTAAAAAACCTCCAAATTAAATTATAAAAACTCCAAAAGAGAGCATTTAGTGTTCTAAACATCCATGACACTTTGGCAGGTCACATGATGCAGAACAGATCCCATCTATAAATAATGAAATGAAATGAAATGAAATGAAATGAAATGAAATGAAATGAAATGAAATGAAATGAAATGAAATGAAATGAAATGAAATGAAATGAAATGAAATGAAATGAAATGAAATGAAATGAAATGAAATGAAATGAAATGAAGTGCTTGTATACCGCCCATATGGTTAGCAACTGACACAAGTGTCAGGTACTAACCATGTCAGAGCGGTTCTAAAGGGTGAGGTGAAATGAAATTAGAAACTAGAAAGCCCGTTTTCACAGGCAATGAGGCAATGTGCTAGGATGTGGGACACACTCGAACCCCGCTTTCAGGCTTGTCCGCCGTGGCTAAATGGATCGGCGGCGGCGTTTCACTAAAATTACACCGGCGGCGACGGCGTACGCCGGCGTGAGCCGTGAAATCAAGGCCAACTAAATTGAGGTCTATGAAATATGAATATGATCATGTACTTAATTTGGGTAATTTAGACTTAACTTCAACAAATGATGTTGGTATATTGTTATGGTATTATCTGCTATCAAATAAAAGTTGAGAAAAATTGATACAATTATTTTATTTAAGGTAAAATACATAAACAATAAATTATTGCTGAAATCAATGGATCTCTCAATCTTTTTTGTTGGAAACAAAATCATAGTTTTTAGAACAAAACAGTGTATATTTGAAATTCTTAACATTCATCCTAGATCGCTGACTAGAAAGAATTAAACCTGCAGCCGACCAGGTTCTTTCAATTTCCGCACTACTGGCAGGTATACAATGCACTATTCTTACTATGTTTGAGAGTATTGGGAAAGTTTTTTGCCTATCGGCCCAAAATCTTAAAAGTTCGAATCGTAAAATTTCTTCTTCAGTCAAACTTATGAGTAGGTATCTGCTCAGTTCTTCTGATAATCAATATTGTTAAGTTAGCTAAAGGTGTGTATCATGTGTGTGTTGCCCGTAGCCGCTAATCGCTATCAGTAACACTGATATCTTCAAATGAAGACAGAATTATTTTGAAGTCAGAAAATGCACGCCGTACGCCGATGTACGCCGGGGTGTATCGGCGCGTTCGGCGTGGCAAAATCACCCGGCGGCGGCGGCGTTCGGCGGCGGCGGACAAGCCTGCCCGCTTTTATCCCAAAGTTAGCTAAGGGGCGTTCGTCACAAAAACATCTTTGAATTTCTATAATTTTATTAAATAAAAGCTGCTAAAAGGTGTAATATTTTCACTGAAAGGCTTTTAGTGGAAACATTTTTTCCACAACGCGAATCTATTAATGCTTTAAATACAAAGTTATATGATTACTATGTCATTATTTGTTTTTTTCTATCAAGTGACCATTCGTCAGAATAGTTTGACCGTCACATTGTCTCAAGCTGTGACTTTTCAATTATTGAAAGAGTCGCCACAACATTTTTACGAATTATTTGTTGTTGGCATAACTCCTAATGGATATTTATTAATTGCAAGTCCCCTCAGGTGCTGCCACAAAAGACAGCAAGCCATCTTCTGTAAACGAGAGTCTAGATAAGAAGTCTCAAAAATCAGGAAATGAGGACTTGGAGATGGCTGTGGTCGACCCTGAAAGTCCTTCCTCTGACACTTCCTTCGACAATCACCGCTTTACTGATCTCAAGCCAAAAGGTTTGGATAATGGGCAAATCCCGGGTATATACATCACTTAATGTTTCTGTCATATCCTAAAGAAATTAAATAAAACAAAATTTTAAACAGATATTTACAAGTTATAGAGTGCTAAATATGGCCTCTAGACGGACCACTCATTCCCACTATTCCAGGTACGATTGATGTGTACTGGTTGTCAGATGACGGTGGACTCAGTATTCTCATACCTTATCTCTTATCTCAGAGCAAATACTGGTCCCAAACTTCTCTTCGAGTCTTCGCTTACGGAAAAGCTGGGGTAGGTTACTATCTTTGGGGAATCATTATACAATTTTGGGTTGCCACCAGACTTTTCTATTTGAAAATACAGGCTAAATGCAGTTGATCTGCCTAACGCAACGTGTTGTTAAGTTATTATCAGTAGACTAGAAATACCTTGATGAACAATCAGAACCAAACAAACTATGAAATGCACAGTCTAGAATACTCTTCATAGGGTGGGCCGGGGTGGTAATTGTATTATAACCAGGTGTAAATAACCAACACACCTGTTACCCCTGGTCCCTGAACCTGTTCATCTGTCATGTAATTACTAATTCCACACTAACCAGTGACATCAATGAGTCCATTGATTGGTAATACCTTGATGAATAAGCTGAATTATGCATACTACGAAATGCAGTCTACAATAATCTTTATAAGAGTGATAATCAGATAAACACAGAGTCTAGAATGTGCATTTCATAGTTTATTTAGTTCTGATTGTCCATAAAGGTATTTCTATTCTACAATAGTAGAATCTGAGTTAATAAAATTACCCAAATCAGGAAATGGGACACGAAAAAGTAAGAATGGCGACTCTTCTTCACAAGTTCAGAATTGAGTTTGCCAGTGTGGAAATAGTTGTTGGTCTTGATGATGAACCGTCTCAAGAAAGGTTTATGTTGTACAATTTTAAATGGTTGTTCTATATAAAATGATTAAAGTCAATTTTACAAATAACTGTATCATACAATGATTTCATAATTTGTAAATATATTTTTGAAATTCTATTCCTTTGCAAAAGTAATCTCCAAGTAACGTCCCTGCGTAGATTGCTTCATAATATCATCAAGAGTTCCTGTATAAACCTACCTTAAACTACTCCATTGCCATTTAAATTCCACTTTATTCCTCTTTCACCCTCTGTAGATCTCTAATACTGGTAGTGATAAGGTCTGTCATTAGGATGGGGGTAGTATTGGGGTGGCGGCGGAGGAGGAGGAGGAGGGGGTCCTGGAGGAAGACACAAAGGAGGGGGTTCGTTAGCTCGGGGATCCGACGGCAGATTATCGAACACTCTAGAACCCTTAGCCTCCATAGACACCAGGCAAACGAAGAAGATCTGCAGGATTCCCACTGCGAGGAAGGTCCAGAAAACCACATCAAGCAGAGAAATGTCTCCCATCTGCGAGCACAGAGCGATAGCACTGAGAGCTCCAACCTTACCCCAGGCATCAGCGTATCCCACCCCACTTGCTCTCATAAAAGTGGGACTCTGAATCAGGACACTGCTCCACAGCGAGTATTGGGTGGCTGTTAGGAACACCATACCACAAACCAACTCAATGATAGTGAAGATGTAGCTCCAGCAGATATCCAGGAACGCCAAGATGATACAAGAGAGGATTGAGTAGGTAATGAGGGTAACACGACTACCAAAGTACTGCTGGGTGAAATAACCTACCACCAGACCCACCACAATGCAGGCTGCTATAGCCAGCAAGTAGAGGAAACTATAGGTGCTGATCTCCTCGCACTTCTGACCGGTAAAGAAATCAGTTATCACCTTGAAGATCTGGTTATCGTGGGTGTTCTCCCTGAAACCCATCCCACAGTAGTCCCAGTAAAACATGTAAGGGAGTATCACAATGATACCGTACTCGATATAGTAGTTGCAGAAGAGGAGGGTAGCGAAGAGACTGACCGCACAACAGAGGTATTTGAAGACTAGACATATGTTACCTCGCATGTGCACGTAGTAGATATCAATGGGGGTCGTCACGTTAGGGTTCTCCGGTTGGTACCCGTACTCTCTTAGAGCCAGATCAGCTTCCTTGAGAGTGCTGCCAACTCCAAGCCAGCGGGGTCCTTCTTGAGTCAAGTGAGAGAAGACAACAGCTAGCACTATTGGAAATACAGACAAGCCACAGATGAACTCGTATGCATAGCTCTCTGATACACTTGAGAAGATAGCTGCCAGTGTGAAATCATATGCTGCTCCACTAGCGAATAGAGCCATGAATGCCAGCATACCTTCCTCCCTGTGATTGTAAGCGGAAACCTCGACCCAGAAAATGAGAGGAATGTTCATGACACCCGGCAAGAAGAAGCCCATAAGGAGTCGAGCTGTAAAGAGGACCCACCAAGCGGAGGCAAATATCTGGACGATTCCAGTGATGAGGACGAGGTAGAGGCAACCAATCAGCGACCATTTCCTTCCCCACTTGTCCGCTGTCCAGCCAATAAAACAAGCCCCAAACGGATAGAGAATGAAGATTGAGCAAAGCAGCCAGGATCTCTCAGATGAACTCAAGTCAAACTTGCAGTTAGCGTATGCCTGGATAACACAAGTTAGGAACACTTGACTACCAGCTCCAATCTGGGCCAGAGACCCCGCAGCTAGGAGTAGACTGTGGTATTTGGAGTACACAGCCGTGTCCAGTGCGTAGTTGATATCCACAAGACCTGGTGGAGGCATCCCCGACTGAGCGGGCTGCCCCATTCTGGTCCTGGTGGGGAGCGGCCTGTCGTCTATTGGAGGTGCTGGCTCATTAGCAAGGAAACCACCCATTTGATACCTATTATCCTGCCGGGGTTGCTGGTATTCACTGTATTGGGGTAATCTCGGTTGTGGGGCAGGCTGAGAGTCTGCTGGGGGGATGGCTTGTTCTGGGGCAGCTTGTTCTGGGGCAGCTTGTTCTGTCGCTGAAGCTTCATTTATGGGCGCCGCTCTGTCGGCTGATTCAGTGGGATTCTCATTTGTATTTGCAGTGTTATAGCTTGATTGAGGAGTTATCTCGTTTCCCACAATCGGCTGTCTCTCCTCATTATCCATATCTGCTAGATTCTACTTCAACTTGCTCGTTCTCTTAAACTACATCTGCTTAGTTAATAACTAGTTGTTAATCTCGCAATCAATTCAAATTACACCAAACAAAACAGTGCCAAAAAAGGTAGATATACATTTTAAAATTCTCATAAAAATCGAAGCACGTTTCGCAAAATATACTCCAGTGTAGTTTTGTGTAAGCTCTCAGTAAACCACGCAGTGTTTGCAGTCTCATCAGTTAGAATGTGTCAGCTAACCCATTATAAACATTGTAAATTCAACGTGGAACTTCTCGACAAGAATTGCGCCCATTTTATTTGGTGGCGGACGCTATATTTCCATTCACTGCAAGCTCCTATCAGTTCACTTCACAATATATCATGCTTGTGACCGGATATCCGGCTGAAAGTCCTGTGATCTTCTCTCTAGATAACACTATATACGAGTCTGAACATTGTTTTAACTAAAACTTTCTCTTTCAGTATTGACGACTACATGAAGTACAAGCCTGCAGAAGAAGCAGAACAAATTGATGCTAAGACGAAACAGTATATTAGGATGGGAGAGTTGCTGAGGGACAAAACCACCGAAGACACTCAGCTTATAGTGCTGTAAGTTCTAAATTCTTTTTAGAGCGAGATTCTCATAGTCATCTACAGGTGACATGTTTATGTTTACTGTCCCTTCAGGTAGATCCAGTGGTACTAATTGTGTATTCTATTTTTTTCTTTCTTCTACCATTGCCTGATCACCCGTAAGTGTTGAGGACCTCGTGAACTGTTCTCCTTCGAGTTCTTTAAGCGGAGGTTCGATCTCAACATCGGAACATTCTGTGTTAAGCATGACAGGTAAAAAATCCCGAACTGCATTATGTCGGATGATAATGTAACCACCAAGATGACAATAAAGAGCAAGGTTCAAACACTGTGATGGTTAACGATCCAAGCCGTTCGTTTTATGAGATTCTGGGGGGTCTAGTGGTAGCCGATGGTGGTAAATTAATTTATATCATATTATGAGCATATTACATGGGATTGTGGTTAAACTGGAATATAAACTGATGTGGTAACTGCAAAGAGTTGGAGTGGAGATGTTCTTCTTACTTTGGCTGCTCGGTTTACTGGTTAAACTGCTCTAGAAGACTTAGTATTTTATCAGATTCGTTTCACCGTGGACACAAGCAGACAAAACCCATTCTAAAAGAACAAAAAAAAATTAGGCAGTACAGTCAGCATGATAAAAGTAGCAAATAACGTAAGCAAATCAACAACAAAAATAACAATCCCAAACAATTTAAAAGTAAATATCCTTAACTTTCAGCTGTCACTCGCATTGATAGAGCTTTAAAGTTAGTTACTTTATAGCTAGTCAGATATATCCACAGCAGTCAACAGTCAGCACGATCTAAGTAAGAACGATCTAATCCTTTCTTCAAATCATATGCGATCCAGATTTTTCTGGATCTTTTGCTACTGTAATATAGTGTGTCACTTCACAACATATGTCTACATGATAGGCTCAACAACATTACTACTAGTACGTTCTTGCATCTCCATCTCTCCAACCCTGTTGTTAATTCTTCTTGAGTTAATCCAAGATATCATTTCACGTTTCAGTATTGCGATCTCCCCTGTCACCCAGTCATATATTGGCTTGCAATGTATCAAGGGGTTTATGAACGAATTGATCGGGACGACAATTCCAATCAAAGTGTCAGTATCCAAGAATGGAATGGACCAGTCGAAGAAGCTCCCAATGATTGCAACATTGACGGGGATCCAACATACCAGCTGGGATCCGATCACCAGGGAGATCTTCAGAGATAGAAAGAAAACCTGGTCATTAGACTCATTCTCCGCTCTGTTGGTTGGTCGTGCTTGTGCTCGAGATTTTATAAACTGACGACAGATGAGAAGGTAGCATGTCATAATGATTGTCAGATACAGGCAGCTCTCTATAATGTAGAAGATTTTGTAGCCTAGCATGACTCGTTCGTTTGTGAATAAGTCAGGGTAGCACATGGAAGATTTTCCGTAAAACCCAATGGATTTTAATTTTTATCCTGTCTGGAGCAAAGATTCCGCCGTTGGAGGTCATACTGCTCAGTTCCTCTAAAATTTTCTTGGTGGACATGGAGGAAGTTTCATCGAAAGAAATGCGCTTGTAAGCAGTCACCATCCTCGCTAAATCTAATTTCTTACCTCTTGTAATGAGAGGATTTCCAGTAAACAAATGTTCATGAATGAATATTTCAGCCCACTCAGACAACACGGTTATTGCCGCCAAAAACGGTGCAAAAGCTCTGGCAATATTGACACAGTTAACCAAGGGAAAGACCGCCATGAACCCGGACATGGTGATCTCCCTGCCGGACAGGCCATTAAGACAGGTGAAACACCGGCAGATACTCATTGCTACAGATACCTGCAGCGCACCTTGACTAGCTGCGAAGAGGATTGTCCCCGCAAATCTGCAGACCATGGAGGATCTCCAGTACACATCGAACAGACAGTACTCACCATCGTAGGCAAAGTTGGCTCCTACAATTGTCGCGAGGTAGACGGCGATTAGTAAGTCGTATCCACCGAGTACTATGCACTGAATCTTGTCAACCCTGAATGCTGCCTTCGCATTCGAGTCATATGTATTAAGATTTAAGATGTTGGTAGATTGCATATATATTGAGGACTAATATGCAAGCCATCTGAATTGCAACCACGTAAGGAAGCACTCTGCCACTTATCAGATTATCCTGGGAGGAGAGGAAGGAGGAAGCGGTACAGTTGCTGCATTCATCAGAGGAATCCGAGCAATCTGAAAATGAGTCACATGTCATGTTAATTGGGATGGGCTTGTTGTCTGACTTGCAGTAGAACGTGCCTGGACAGTCCTGCTCATCGATACCGTTCTCACAGTGCTGAATACCGTCACAGAATACCATCTTCCTCCGTCCGTCGCTGTGGCTCACACTTTGGATGTTACTGTAAGACTTGTTTTCGCATTTGTACGTCGGGTAGTTTGCTCCTTGTAGTTTATGATGCAAATTAATTCTTTTACAGTGAAAGCTGATTGAGGTACTATCCATTATGCATTGCTCAACCTTTTTGGGATCTAATGATATCGGTCCAATACTTATATCATCTTCATATTCATCTTGCCAAGTTTTTAAATCATCATAAAATTTTTCTGCCGCATAGCTTGCCTTTAAGCAGTCCGGCTCTATGTAGCATTCTGCTTGTGACTGATTATAACTGGGCCCCATATCCAAAAACCCGCATTCTCGCATTCTAAGAATGTAGGAAATTTTTAAAAGTAGGAAATTTTTGACAAAAAGTAGGAAATTCGAGAGCCAACTCTGAGAATTTTCGATAATATTTCAGTAGGAATTTAAGTGAAAGAGCAGACTAAAAGTTGCTGGACCGTTATTTAAATGTCCTCAGTCAGGGATCCACTGATCCAGTCTATCAAATTTCATTTCACAGACCAAAGTTTGTTGCTATTAGCTACAAAATCTGTGCATCAAGTAACCACTAACCAGATGCTAATTATTGGGGCATTTTCGCGTACACGACATAAATAGTTGTCATTATTACTTTATTAACATTTTACTATCTACTTATTTAGTCTATGAAACCGGATATGTCTACAGTGTCACCCGATATCTGTATTGGCAAGCAGTAGCATATACACATCACGTCTTCAATGTGTGTATCACACTGCACACACCCAGCCCAAATTCGTGTGGCGTGAGAAAATATCAGAAAAACAGGGCGTTTTAACTAAAAAATTTGGTCTCATACTTGCTTCCTTCTCCAAATTCCCTTAACCCTGTATTAGTTTATAGCTTGAAAGCAGAAAGTGATGGTAGTAGATGAGAAAACATTTTTGCCAAAATTATAAACTCTTGATACTTCATGCTGTCTCCTATTTCGTGCTTTAGTTAAGCCAAGTGTTCAGGGATTCTAGAATCCAGACAATTTATCCCAATAAAAATTGAAATCAGAAAATAGTATGCTAAAATCGTTCTCCATTGTCAGATTCGTTCCAGGAGGCCAAATCTAGTTTAAATTTCCAAAATTTTCGGGGGCTTCGCCCCCAAAAGTAACCTAGGATTATCTTTTAAAAAGCATTCCGGGCCCTAAAAAAGTAAAATTGAGAATCTGGAATCCGCCATGAAAAATCTTTGAACCGCGCGAATACGAGGACTTTTTATGCGAGCGAAGCGAGCGGCCACAGAAAACGAAAAAATTGAGAATGTAGGAAATTAAAAATTTTTTGGATATGGGAACTTGGCAACTTTTTGCAAGTTAGAAAATCTTGACAAGCACATTCGTCACTGTAGTCCTTACAATGTGCTCTTCCGTCGCAAACTTGCTGCAAAGAAATACAACCATCACCATCAGCGCAAAGGAAAGTCTCGGTGCCGCAGTGACACTCGTCCGTTAGACAGGATGAGTAGTTGTTGCACATCTGACTTACTGGGAGTACGCAACCTGCTCGCAGTAAACCGGACACATTGAAGTTCCCGTAGTAGCAAAGTTTGTATCCGGAAAAGGATTTCCCATCCCTTGCCTCCGTAAATTTATCAATATCCCAGAATCTGTATTCTTTGTAGTTATCCCGTACCGCGATTAAGGACGCTATTTCCCCAAAGACAAAGTCATTGCAGATTGTGTGCTCGAATTTATTTTGAGCTAGTCCGGGTGCCGTTAGCAGGAATTGGGTTGATTGTGTGATTCTATCCCAGGCCGTGAGGTTCAGTATTGAGAGGAGATGAGGTAGTTTCATTACCTCTGGTGCTTCATTACCAAGCTCAGAACAGACAAAAGTCAGCAGCCCTACCAGAACGAGTAGTCTCATATTATCGTGCCTAGAATATGATTCGTAAGAATATTACCACAAATATATAAAACCCCGATTTATCGCGCCCCGATAACCGCAAACCCCGATTTACCGCGGCCATTTCCCTTCCCCAAATGGGGCTTAATTTACAAGTTTAAGCCCCATTTGGGGAAGTTGCAGCTGTAATTTAAGTTTTCGGACAACGGAGAAACTGGATTGACCTTAACGGGATATTAATTTCTCTGATATACTGTCTCTGAGACAGCCTTACTAAAGTTGAAGTTGATTACGAAGCGACGAGATGCGACCGAAAAACAGCTAACACCGGCAATCGGCATTAGCACTTTAACAGAACGCGAATACTTATACTATAGCTTAGCCAATAAAGATTGACCGGAATGAACTCTCCCATCTGATTGGGAGATATAATAAAATGAATTTAATCATTATAGAATAATGAAGCCGCCAGATCAGACAGAAATATATGCTCTAGGGGGCGTTGATTGACGACATTGGTGGATAAAAATAGTTGTCTCTCTAGCTCTGGTATCTACTCACCAGGAACTCCTCCTTTCTAATTGAAATGAGGGCGGGTCATAATTCTCAATTTTGACAATTTTGACAATTTTCTTGGCTATCTAGCAGGCAACTTAGCCAATGCAGATTAACCGAAAGCTGCTCTCTCATCTGATTGGGTGCTCAGAAAAACAATCAGAGTGGGATAGAGACTCCAGGGCGAGTTGAGAAATCGACAGACGACAACTCACTTCCACGAGTCACGATTATTGGAATCAATGCTTGACTCACGATTATTGAAATCAGTACTTCGAAGTTCGCTCCGCAAACCTTGATTATTATTATATTGAGCTCTATTCAGATGCGTAACAAACTATTCTGTTTTAATTGGTGTGCGAATGCCGAAGGGAGACTCTACAGTTTAATCGCGACTATCACGTGTGACTTTATTAAACACGTTTTGTCGACGGCAACACCTAAAATGCACGCAGAATCTTTCAACTTCTGCAGGCCTAAAATGAAAACACGATTGTCATGTGTGCCACACTCCAAGCTTTCCACTTAAAATAATTACTGGTAAAATTACTATATTGTAGGGAAAATCGATCGTGCGTGGTGTAACCGCGGCGAAATTCTTGTTTTCAAGGTGTTTAGTTGATATCATCTCAGCGTTGACATTTCACTTTCCTCAGAACGTTGCCGGTACCACGTGACAGTACACCTCCACAAAAATACATGTCTTGGTTGGAAGTGATGTCTAACAACTTACCACCCATCCTCATGTTGCGTGGCAACCAACAAGATGCCCTGACTTTCTACTGCTAGCATAATTAGCAATAATTAGCAATAATTAGCAATAATTGTTAACATCCATTATTATTAGTTGATAGATTATAAATTATAATTGAGTTGATGAGACATTATGAGTTTTATAATTATCCTAAGATTGGCCGAGCTGGATTCTTTTTATGGCTTTATTTTATATTTGTCATTTTTTAACGAAGCATGTTTTGAATAGTCATTACTTATGCGTATCATGTTTAACTGTAATAGTTACTGTAAGATTAAAAGGATGTCAATAGCCTTTTGGAGAAGGACCTGTTCTAACACACCGTTTAAAAATGACGAATCGTGACATATCGTAAATGATGTGTCAATGTGAACAGTCACTTATTGAGCAACAAGTTATATTTAAATAGTCATTAACTTATGATGCTTGCTTGATCCGTCTGTTATATAATACGAATTATTTTGAGATAGCTTAGTATATAGATATTATGTAGTTGGTTTCAATATAGGTTGGGTTGCGTTTGATTTTAATCTTTTTTACAATTTGTTGTTCCCAGGAATAATTCATGTCGGAGATATTTAGTTATTATTTAGTTATTATTATTATATGTACTGATCGATGGAAAGAGCTTAGAGTTTGTTTACGTGTTAGGTTTCTAGCTATCAAGTTTTCGTCAAGAAAATCTTATAAATAATGTAATTATTACCTGTTATAGTCATGTTAAATATTAGAAACCCAAGAATCGAAATATTGCATTGATGAATACAAAACGATGTTATTCAAAGCAATAAATATAATGATTAGTTAAATCAGAAATAAGTTTCCAGTCGAAATATCTTAATGGGTTAGATTGTGATATTATTAAATTTAAAATATTAGCTATATTAGGCGCTAAAATCATATCGAAAAATAGATGACGGAAATTAAAACCATGAGAAAATGACGATAATATTCGCTTCACAACTGCAGTCTAAAATAATCATTTAAGAACATAATATTTAATTTCATAACAGTGAAAGCAGTATTAATGACATTCTCACTTTTCAGAACTAAGTGCCTAATACAATTAAGATATAACATCTAAACAGTTTTATTCCTGTTCCATATGATCGAGGATAGTCAGGGCTACAAAACCTGACCAAGTTTAGCTCAATCCAGTACTGCGCGTTTGAGATATGAGGTTAAATATACCAAAAATAGGGGTTTTCTGGTGTGACATCATTGTAAATTTTTTGGAGTATAACCTCAATATCTCACAAACTATCCATTTGTGGTCTTTCTGAGTTACACTATCTGTTTCCTCTGGCAATTTCGGTTAAGAGTCAATTAAGTTTGAAACAAAATCTCAGTATATGTGGAAGGACCGAGGATATCAAGTTTGTAAACGCGCGCGCGCGCGCGCGCGCGCACACACATATATTGACCTCATATCTTCCACATTTAATGATTTTTTATAGAAATTCTTTCACCATCCTGTAGCACTCATGTGCTGAGTAGGATAGCATTCAAATCATGTCTTTAAAAGCTTAAGATAGATACTGAGGGAGAAAATTCATGTTTGTAAACGCGCGCGCGCGCGCGCGCGCATGGCCCACTGCCCAGACTATATCAATGGACGGGAGGATTAAAGTACTTTCATACACACCAGCATGCTCATTGATGGCTTGAAATGAAGCTAAGACATACTCCTATCAGATCCACCATAAGTTAGATACCATAATAATCATTAAATGTGTCTAAAATGAGGAAGCTTTGACAAGTGCGAGTGGTTTTGGCAAATTTTGGTATAAAATGGGCCCTGAGATCATATTTTTCTCATTAAAATCGCATATATCACGAATATTTATGTGTGTTGGGTGTATCCTCATTGGTATCAACCATTTCAATCATCTAGAGCAGCTTTCCTGATTCTTTATCTCATGAAAATGGGCAAAAAAGCTCATAAATAGTCCAAAATCGGTCATTTTCGCCGCTTTAATAACCTCATTCCTGGCACCCAGAACACTTTAGGTACTCAAAACATGATTTTTCGGATACCTCAGACCCCTAACTAGCACATAGAGCCAGAAAGAACAGCATGTAGGGACTTCTAAATTTTCATGGTTGAGAACCCAATGTCACACTATTCGTTCATTAATCCTGCTTTCACTGATAAGTCATATTATGTAACGTTATGGTTATGGTTAGTATGGTTATGGAAACTATGGTAACTAACGTTATTGCAAACATCTGAGCTGAGTTCTCAACGTTATATTTCTCATTTTCTCATTGGTACCGTCATCCATTAAACCAATTAGTCTGAAGCGGTTTATTCAATTTAGGGAATTTCCTTAGGCATTATTATCGAATTCTAATACTATTCATTTTATGATATTATTTCCTTACCAGAGTTCATATGGAGTTTGGTAAAGTCATTTACAGTGATTGTGTTCATTAGGGATGAAGGATTTATTTTCATTGTAAATATCGTTACGTTCATAGCCAAAAGTATACAGGACATTTTGTCACAATTATCATCAATATAATAATGTTAAAACTATTTATGAAAATTTGATATCAGTCGTTTTATTTGGCAAAAGAAACGGAATTTACAAATATTATTAATGGATAAAATTAAAATTGCGATTCGATTGTCTCTAATGATTAGCTTGTCTATGGCCACATATCTACCAAACCAGCACCACAAAGTTATTCTCAACTTGAAGCGGCTAACGTTGCTTCACTTTCAAGGTTTACAGAATCACATCTAACTTTCTTGTAGTCCGTCTCTTGGAGAGGCTAACGTTGCTTCACTTTCAAGGTTTACAGAATCACGTCTAACTTTCTTGTAGTCCGTCTCTTGGAGTAGACTTACAAGTCCACTTCCTATGGTGGCTAGGATAACCAGTCCACCTCCGAACAGTGACATCGCAGAGAAACTGTGCTTGAAGATCAGGAAGTCGAAGATGTAAGCTATGACGATGTCCACATTCCTGATTAGAGCTACCATAGCTGCTTGTTCATGTTGTAAGCCCACGTTCAGTGTGAAACTTCCTGTTTGAGGAAAGGTTTTGGTATTCGATCGAATTTATAAGTATACATTGTATAGTATACAGACTTCAGGTACTTCAATTTGGTTTCATACCATCATCAATTAACCGACGAATTGGTTTCTGGAAAGTGGAAACTTCATCTTCAAAAACTGAAAATGGGACAGAAAATGCAAATGGGACAGTAATATTTTGAAATTTTCTTGGGGGCCATCTACTTAGGATGTCCGCCAAAATCGCAGATAAGACCACCCCTCCCCCGGACGTCCCGATTTCAAGCTACTTTTAAGAGTACAGATAAAATCAACTCAAATTTATTGTGAATAAAATTCAAAGAGTTGAAATAAAATTCAAAGAGTTGATATAAAATTCAAAGAGTTGAAATAAAATTCAAAGATGGGACTTTTTCGTTAATTCTGCCAAAATTTTCGGACGTCCGGATATATTCAGAAACCACCCCCCTCCCCCTGTCCAGATTTGTCCGAAAATCCAAAACCACCCCCTCCCTATTTGCCGGACGTCCTAAGTAGATGGCCCCTTGAGGATTTTGACTTCCAGTACCGCAATTTGGTTTCATACCATCATCAATTAACTGACTAATTGGTTATGGGCAAAAATTCAATCAAGTTCGGTTCAGACAATGTCATCTTTAAAAATCAAATCATCGCCAAATCCTTGGTAGCATCAGATACTAAGGTTTTGAAATCCGAGCACAAACGTCCCCACCTACCAGTCACAGCGAATCCACTGACGAGGAGAAGCCAGCCCCACTGATCCAGAGGTATGTTGTGGAGCGACTCCAGGGATAATTGAGGTCCTGCCACCAGTATACTAAGGAGAGTGTTGGAAATGCCTAAATAGAAAACCGGCACTACAAAGTGGATGTTCATCTGTCTGAAATGGGTTAATTAATTGGTATCAATGACTCTGTAAAGTTTTACAGCTGGTAAAATTATAGTAAATACTTTGGATACCTGGGCTAGTGGGCTAGGTGAGTGATAGATATCCAGAGAATTGCAGCTCGCTAAGCAGGGGGGATCAATAAGCACAATATGAATATCTTAAATACAGACGTAACTAGAGGAATTAACAAGTTTACCTGACAAGTATGAAGGTTGCAGCTTGAGCGATAGTGGCTAGAGTAACAATCGCAAAGCCCAGGCCAGACATAGGATGTAGGTCCTCACCCATAGCAGAGTGAGTAAGGATGACCACCCCCGTACTACACACCAGACCAGATATAGTAGTGGACACTGGAACAGAAACTTTAAGCAGGACTCTCTCCAGAATGGCCACAAATACTGGACACGTGGAGATAATCACCGTGGCCTCTCCCAGGGAGATGCTCTGGAAGGAGAGGTATATCCCGTATACTGCCAGAAAACCCAGCACTCCAAACCCAACAAGCATCTCCATCTTCCCTTTAGGATTGAAGGGTTGTCTCCAGCAGGCCAGATTGAGAATGAGTGAGGTAATTATCTGAAGTAGAGACCTCACTAGGATTATCAGCGAGATAGGAACGTCTCCACACAGCTTTACAAAGAGTGAGGCACAAGCAAAGCAAACACCTGATGTCCCTGTAAAGAGTAGCCCAAACGCTTTGCTCCTCAGAGAAGTCTCCATGTTTTTGCAGCTATGGTTAAAATGCAGAAGTTATTACAAAAGTTATGTGTATCTTCTACGACTGGAGTGACGGTCATAACAACATTAGTAATACTAATAGTATTACTTTAAATCTGCGGGTCAAATATCGCGATTCGCGTTCTCTATAGGTATATGGAACCAATCACGTCCACAGCCTTCCGAATGTAGATACGGATTTCGAAAATCGAAAAAACATTTTCGGCTAATAATGATCAGGGTAGCATGAATAGATGAATCGTGAACAAAATTAGTTTCTAGATAAACTTGAAAATGTTGACTTATACAATTTTGGGTCCGAGTCATCAGCTCGATACGTACCTCTGAAGGCAGAGCTCCCGCTTCCGAAAACAAAACATGTTAGTGGTCAGAGCCAGGGTAGCATGAACCATCACATGGCATGAAGTGCGTTTAGACACTTGACATCATTTAAGAATGTGCAGTGTGTAGTAACTCAAATTGTATGGAAACTGTCGAGAATGTGTAGTGGGTCAGTGTGAACGGCAATTCCAGAACAATTATTAAGACTATTGTCCCTCGATCCTCGAGTCTCTTCCGATCAGTAACAGTTAACACAGCACTCAGCAGCTCAATGTGCAATAATAAATAAAATAATAAACGTTATAACGGGGGGATCAGGTACTAAGTTCCGTACGTGACGTCGACTAAGTGTAACTTTGGAATTTACAAAAAAGACCCACCCAGCCCCTTCGCGGTACTACTACTAACTGTTTTTTCGGATAATATTTAGGACACCCACCCCTTTTGCGGTGCAGGGTGTCCTAAATAACGGTACTAACTGTGTCTTGGCATATTAACTAAGATACCTACCCATACATCATGCTTTAAACAGCTCATTAAACATTGGGAAATGGGCAAATTATACTTATTATTTAGTAGGGGTTTTGTTTTCAATGTAGTCGAATTAGATAAAAAGTTACAAAAAAAGGAATTTTTTTAAAACCCAAAAAAAAGGAAAAAACCCTCAAAACCCATTCCCAAAATTGAAATTTGAGGTAAAATGGGTTTTTTGGGGTTGGACACCCCCCTTAGTACCATGTACTAACTGTTTTTCTGGGAAATGAGCAGCAGACCCACCACTTAGTACAAAAATACTAACTGTGTTTTGGAAGAAAATAATAATATTATTTAGTAGGGGTTTTGTTTTCAATGTAGTCGAATTAGATAAAAAGTTACAAAAAAAGGAATTTTTTTAAAACCCAAAAAAAAAGGAAAAAACCCTCAAAACCCATTCCCAAAATTGAAATTTGAGGTAAAATGGGTTTTTTGGGGTTGGACACCCCCCTTTGTACCATGTACTAACTGTTTTTCTGGGAAATGAGCAGCAGACCCACCACTTAGTACAAAAATACTAACTGTGTTTTGGAAGAAAATAATGACCCCCCCCCCCCCCCCCCCCCCCCCCCCCCCCCCGTTATAAAGGAAACAGGATGTTTTCAGATTCATAGCCAGCGATCATAGCAGTCAGGCCCCAGGCACTAGTCAGTAAGTCAAGTCAATGCGATCCTGAGGGCTATAATTAGTAAAAGGTGTTGTCACGTGATCTTTGTCACATGACTACTATCGCTAGCTGCACCATTAGGTTTAAATTGGCAATTAAACTACTGCACTTACATATGCAGAACATGCTGGATCAGCGCATATAATTCCCTATATCATAGTCTGCTGACCTAATCTGTTCACCCAATGTTATTGTTTTTCACAAGGCGGTGTTACTGTTAGGTCCATTTTCGATAATCTTTCGCCATCTAGACATCTAGACTGTCAGTGTCATAATGTGAGTTTTACAATGGTACCTTCTCCACAAAAATCTAAACAAATCGGATATAACCCTCCAACCTAACATAATATATGTACAAAACTAATTAACCGGGAGATAAGGATTAACTTTAAGGGTTATCGGCTATCGCTCGTGAGCGCCTCGAACTACCATATAAACTATAAGTATAAGGCGTATGTATGAAGTTAGTGCTCAGGCCTTTACGGTAGTTCACAACGACTTAAGTGACCACTAAGTGACCACTGTGCGACCTTAAAGTGTAAGGTTATTAAAGGCATTAAAGTAAATTTAATTCTGAGCGCCCTACACGTATCCATTTCCAAAAGTGATACTAATAGGAATACTTAATAAACAACTTGCTGCTTCTGGCCCCACGGCCAAATTACCTAAGTGAAACACTTTAGTATTACATTTGGGGTACAAAACCATCAATTAAAATATAACTAATATAACCACCGGCAGATTTTTTTAAAATATGTTAATTATCATGTTATTGGCTTCATCAGAGTTTTGTCGAAACTATGCCGAAAAAACTAGTCCCTTAATATCAAATCAAGTGTACAACCGGCTAGCTTTTATCGGGATGACCTTTTCGGTTAAACTTTACACTTTACAGGTCCCACGGTATATAATATCCTTACAGGTAATTTAGATCCACCATGCACCAGGCGTTGGTATTACTATTAGCGTGGGTCGCCATGTCTATTTTTGCTCTCAGAGTTTGCATCACTACGGCAACAGCTTTTAGACCTCGAGCATCGAGGTCTGTTGCAGTTCTATGATATTGTTAGTATTTACAATTTAAGTATTTGTATTGTATATATTGGGTGTCCTTGGGGACCATCTACTTAGGACGTACGCCAAAATTGCAAATTTTCAGACCACCCATCCCCCTATCCGGGTGAGTTCGAATTTTCAAAACCATTCCCCCGCCCCTCCCCTGGACTTCCAGATTTCCAGCTACTTTCAAGATTACAAATAAAATCAACTCAAATGCATTGCTTATCAAATGCAAAGAGTTGAAATAAAATTCAAAGAGTTGAAATAATTAATGGAACTTTTTTGTTAATTCTTCCAAAATTTCCGGACGTCTGGATTTTCAGAAACCAGCGTACCCCTCCCCCTAGCCCCCTGTCCGAAATTCCAAACCCACCCCCCCCCCCCCCTCCCTATTTGCCGGATGTTCTAAGTAGTCCTAAGACGTCCTTGGGTAATGAGCTATTAGAAGCTTCACTCAGTCAGTCCGTGGATTCGGGAAGGTCTTTAGCTTGTTTAAAGGCCAGAAACTGGGAACCATATGAGATTCAACAAAAAAAGAGAGCTAATGCAACACGAGATTTGCGATTAAATACTAAGTCGGTTAGTTCATTTTGTTTCCTTTACTCGGCCACAGATCTCATTAATCATATAACTGGACGAAATGGCACAGTTGCAGTCCACAGTCGTTGCAATAAATCATTTATATGGCTTTCCATATTTTATGGCTAGGTCTAACTAATCTGGGGATTAGCCATATCGCAATCGGAAAAACTATCGTTTCTTTATAATTGTGACTGATAATCATAGAAATTGATATTACCTCTTTCAATGATGAGGAAAAGGTCTGATGAACAATAATGTGATGCAACTGCCAATTCATCAATAAGATGCAATGAACCATACTGAACATGAAGAGGCAAAAGATTAAAGGTAAATTATCCGCCCTTTTCGAGAAGGGTTGAAATCAAACTGTTAAGTAATAAGCTGGCCGACTGATAGTATTACTATTATATTTATAAAATATATAGTATTGCCATTGGTCAAAGGTCAGCGGAGATTGTCTCTAAATTGTAAAGTCGTTGGCAGATGTATTGTTTTCCTCGAGGCTGATGAGTAACCTTTTGATAAGTGGCATTTATGTTTCCTTACCAATAACCAAAATTTGGGCACTTTAAAAAAATGTTCAAGGCTTAACACAATTCTCGGGAATTGATATAATTAATTATGAGATTAACAACTCCAAGTCCAATGTACAACTACAAGTATAACCATATGGCCGTATAGTGACACTGCAAGGTTGACATACCCGGACAACTAGGATCATCGTTTATAACAAGTTACGAGGACAAGTACCCAAGACCAAGTACTAGTAGCACTAACAAGTATGCTTTTACCTGGGGACCCCAGGCTATTATGTTCATAAAAGAATAGAGATTCGGCGGAATGACAGGCTTAGCGCCGCCCAGTAATATGCTCATTTTGATGAACATGGCATATTATTCAAATGCCAATCTCATATCATAGATAATGCAGTCTGGTCGAGGAGGATAAAGTGACGTACGATGATGTCTGATAAGTATTGTTATTCAAGTCAAGAATATTGTGGTGGTTTGCTATTAGGATATCGGGACACACCGTGTGCAGCACATTAACATATGCTCCCTGAAGTCTAAAAGGCATGTCGAAGTAGCATGTTCTTAGATGGTTTAGGAGTGCTAATCGGTAGATAGCAACACCTCTGTGAATGTTGCATAAATTGTTATCATCATTTAAATCTAGTTTGATTTATAAGTTTCGATCAGACGTTTACGAAAGATGAGCACACAACAGGTTCAACCCGGACAAGGTGTATAACTTTAGTTGTAATTTATAATCAAAGTCGTTTTAATGTATTATTCTGAGGAGAACTCCAACATTACATATTTTGTATGATGAGGATAACAACAGAAATAAAACACAATTTTCTAAAATAGGGTCTGGCGAAAAATATACAGTACATTTCGAAATCATCCGGTTTATTCTAAACGTGATTGGTCTGAGGTATTTCAACGTCAACGCTCAAATAAAAGTATCGATTTTAATTTCCACCGGTTAAATTATAACTACGATCAAAAATAAATTAACAGTTTCTTTAAAAAACATCGCCAAGTTCCAAGGTCGAGGGTCCGAAAACATTTAATCACTGTGGCCCCAGGTTTGTACAAATCAAAATTATAATCTACAAAAGTATCTCGTTGATGTCACTTGATGAGGATATCCCAACCTACTTTCAGGCGATACTTCTCAGATCTTCATTAACTTTTTTCAGCTTACTTTCCCCTGAACTAGAGTTTTGCGCTGAATCGTTCTGACCGAACACTACCGAATACACATCTCTATAATTCTCAACAAAATGAACCGTCAGCTCTTTTCTGATAAAGTCTGGTACGTCGTCGAAGTCACGTTTATTAGCGCTTGGCATGATAACGCAGGTTATTCCCGATCGTTGGGCGGCGATTATCTTTTCTTTGATTCCACCAACCGGCAAAACTTTTCCGTTCAGAGATACCTGAAAGTTTGATTTGTTGGGACAGTGACATGACTCAAAATATAAAATATGGCAGGCTTGTTTGAATTAGAACGCAAAATGGGAATAATGAAAAAAAAGTAAATAAAATGTGCACCTCTCCAGTCATTGCGATATTAGGTTGAACAGCCGTGTTCGTCGCTAAAGACATCAGTGCAGTAACTATAGTTATTCCTGCGGAAGGTCCGTCTTTGGGCGTGGCTCCCTCTGGCACGTGCAGATGGATTTCTGCGCGCTTAAAGAATGTGTTCTTCGGGTCTATATCCATTAGGAAGGTCTTGGCAAATGTGTGTGCTATCTAAAATGAGGAGGAAGATGTTAATGCTTCTTGAAAAATATCAATACTGGGGGAACAAAATACTTCAATGAAAATTACCTCTTCTAGGTCAAACTGAACCGGAAAACTTTTAATTCTTAATTTTTAATGGCCGCTATGTGTGGTTAGTGGTATCTTAAATAAAAAATAATATTATAAATATTTTACCCTAGTGCTCTCCTCCATGACACTACCCAGCTGACCTGTTGACTTCAAACTCCCTGCTGTTTCCTTGTCCGCCATATTGTTACTGCACACCTGTCAAACACTCTGATATTTAACCAACATTTGGAAATATCATATTGTTACTGCACACCTGTTAAACACTCTGATATTTAACCAACATTTGCAAATATCATATTGTTACTGCACACCTGTCAAACACTCTGATATTTAACCAACATTTGCAAATATCATATTGTTACTGCACACCTGTCAAACACTCTGATATTTAACCAACATTTGGAAATATCATATTGTTACTGCACACCTGTTAAACACTCTGATATTTAACCAACATTTGGAAATATCATATTGTTACTGCACACCTGTCAAACACTCTGATATTTAACCAACATTTGCAAATATCATATTGTTACTGCACACCTGTGAAACACTCTGATATTTAACCAACATTTGCAAATATCATCATACTCCTTCCAAATCGTGTGGATGGCAATCATGACACGATGAAGGAGTTAACGGATATATCTATTTGATCAAATTGACTGATTCTTTATTGGATCAGAATAGGTGACAAGTCTTACCGGAGTTCCGAGGACTAAATAGTACTAATTACTATGATAAACAGTTATATCAAAAATTAGTAAACCGTTTCAACGTAGAGCTCCTTTCCTCCCAGCGATGTCCAAGCTAGCCCGGTGACGACTCCTGGTGGAGTATTCTCGTACAATCGCTGGTTCGTGAACTGAATAAAACATTGTGTTATCTTATCAATGTCGTAGTCTTATTGACCTGAATGTGCTGTATTGACCATGATAATACGGAACGAAATATATTTTCTGCTATTGGAATGTAAAAAGTTTTATTTTCACTGACCTTTGGTTTACCGACAAAATCTTCCAGATTGTCAGGAGCGACACTGATAACGGTCTCAGGATCTGACACTATCTTCATAGCACTCTTACGGTATATCTTCTCTATGTGCTTCTGTAACCCTCTTACGCCGCTCTCCCTGCATAATTACTAATTACTAATTACTAATTACTAATTACTAATTACTAATTACTAATTACTAATTACTAATTACTAATCACTTATTACTAATACTGCGCCATTCCCTCTGGTTTATTCCACTTGTAGCAATCAGAGTTGGTAAACCAATATGGCACTCACTGACCTGCAGTAACCTCTAATGAGAGCCTACTAATTATTAGTTACTAATTACTAATTACTAATTACTAATTACTAATTAAACCAATATGAAACTCACTACTGACCTGCAGTAACCTCTAATAAGAGCCAGGACAGCGTCGTCTGATATATTGAGGCTAGTTTCCTTAATACCAGTGCTTTCTCTGGACGCGGGTGAAAGGTACTTTTGTGCTATTGCAAGTTTCTCTTCTGCGATGTACCTGGCCGAGAAGTAGTTTGATGTGAAAGTAATTCTAATATTTCGATTGAAATCTGAAGAGATAACTTTATTGAGGTGACTGTGATTGAGTATGTGAAAGGTTGATCACACTCACAGTGTATACTGGTCTTGTGTACAATTGGAGTTCAAAAAATTTGAATATTATTATTATTCATTTTTTCATGTGATCTTGCATTGCTGAGAACTTCTTTAAAATTCCTCAAATTTCAATGAAAGCCAAAATACAACGTTGACGTTTATAGTGTTGCCTTACAATAAAAAGTTCTTTGTTAAAAATTTGGTGCTTCGCAGACCGCAGCGATAGCAAGTTACAAAATAAAACTTTGCAGTATTTTAATTTCAAAGAAAACAAAAAAATTAGACGTTGATAAGATCAAATTTTGTTCATTTTCTTGTCGGATCTTGATTTCTTTCTCAAAAAAACCACGTCAATTTATCTATTCCTCCAAATTCTCAAACAAACGAATTTTGAGTGAAAGGTTCCTTAAGCTGGTTTCTTTGTGAACCCAAACCGCGCTCCACCCGCACTCGATAAGCAGATAAAGGAGTAGAAGGTGGAGATTGCTGGAAGATGAACTGTCTGATTCTTGTGGAGAGAAACACTCTGAAGCTTCTCACAGCAAGGGAGTAAACCAAGAAGTTAGCCACGATGTTGACATTCTCAAAGAAACACGCCGCTCGTTTGATAGAGCTACGTGGATGAACTGAAGTGAGGTTGTCAATCATAGGAACAATAGTGTCCGGAAGATAAGACACCAGGAATACTCCAGTAGTTAAACCTACGACTAGGATCCCCTGCCACCGAACTGACTGTCTATCCCTCGCAGCTGCTTGTTTTGCTTTGAGGAGCAAGAGAATTGACGTTAAGATCATCACCACGAGAACAACCATAAACGAAAAATAAATGAAAATGTTTTGAAAGCGAATAAAAGAAACCGGGGTACTGGTAAGATCGACCAGGCACATATACTCAATGTAATCGAAGGAAAAAGATGTCGTGCTCGCAAAGAAGACGTTCATGATTTGACGAGGCCGTATTACACATGTCACCCAGCACAATGCACAAACAATGTGTGCTCTTCTTCGAGTCCAAGAGTGGGTTTTGAGGGGATACTGAACAATCAGCAACTTGAAAGTGGAGAGGACACAAGTCGATATAGCAGTTACCGGGGTCACAATGATAACTACATTCAGATTTACAAGACACAGGCACATGCCCATAACCCAGTCCCCGGCAACTAAAGACACGATGGTAGGGACCACCCTGAACAGGGTCATCAGAAGGTTGCTGACTGCAAGGTGCTGGATAACCACAACCATAACACGGTGCAACTTTATCGCTTTGTGTTTTGTGGTTCCTATCAAGATGAGCGTGTCTCCGATCAGAGACAGAAGTACTATCAATACATGGAATATTGTCCAGCAGATGGTTTCTCCTTCTCCGGGGATGTTTGTGGTTGTATCGTTACTTTCAAGAGTCATACCTTTGAGTAATGTAAATTGATCTATCAGGTAAATATGCATTTGTCAAAGTAACTGATGTTTAATAGTTCTAGACTTTGTGGTTTATCAAAAAGAAGATAAGCGACTAAAATATACATTACAATTTTAGAAATAATATCTAGCGTAGTGGATGCGATTGTATAGTTCTCTGTTATCATCCAGGGATGGGCACAGATATTTGAGTGTCGCTGTATTATCATCACAAAATCAAAATTTCGAATTTGGGATGTTGAGTAGAATGATGCAGGCCCTCATGTTAAAGGTTTCCAATTTCTCAATCCTAGAAAGTGTGAGAATTCCGCAAAGGGCGTTAGCAGGTTTATTATTTCAGCCATTTTTTATCAAAATTTCAGTTTATTTCAAACAAAATCTCATCAAACAAAACGTTTGATGATTAATTGCAAGCAATGGCTTGAAATATTTTGAAATTCCAGTGATATCAGAAAGAATTGCCGAACATTTCTTACACTTTAATGAAGGTTTGCAGACTAAAACTAACATATTCAAAGACCTTTTAAAACTCTATTAAAATTCCTTTTCCATTTAAACTCCTTTTAAAACTCCATTAGATTTGCAGACTAAAACTACCATATTCAAAAACCTTTTAAAACTCCATTATTTCGGATAAACATCATGAACTTCTTTGACAGAAAATCAAATCAAAATCGTCTATAATTTTCTAGGTATAGACGATTTTGATTTGATTTTCTGTCAAAAAAATTCATGATGTTTATCCGAAATAATGGAGTTTTAAAAGGTGTACAAAATTTTCGGCGATTCTTTCTGACATTTAAATTTTTGGCAAACATATCGTAAAACTACGATATGTTTGCCAAAAATTCAAATACTGACCTTTTGACCACTCACCTTTGCATTTAAACCACATTCATAAATCATTGACTTATGATTTGTTAAATGATTTTTTATCTTTAGGGTCTCAAGACCCAAAGACTCAGGAGTAACACATACCCGCTAACGTTGATAAGTTCCATTCTGTCGAGGAGAGGTCCGGGAATAGTGTCAGTAGCGTTACCAGTGCAGATAAACAAAACCTTGCTCAGATCAACAGGAACATCCAAGTAGTGGTCCAGGAAATTAGCGTTCTGTTCTGGGTCCAGGAGCTCCAGAAGAGCCGAGGCGGGGTCTCCTTGGTGACCACGTGACATCTTGTCAACCTTAGGGGGAGTGGGTGGGTGAGGAGGGGTCACCTTCGTAACCAACTCATTTAAACTAATTCTCTAAGCAATTTCCTTAATTATTTAATTTTATCGTTATACATTTTCTCCGTTGTAGTTTAAGGGTGGACACATCATCGTTGTGCGGCAATGACTGCACAATGCACATACTTAATAATGCAATTGACTGGAGAATTTTACACGAATATAAGAAAATACCATTACTAAAATATCACTATATTTCACAAATTAAATCGAGAAAAACAACTTGACCATGCAAAAATCTACCGATGTGTTTTTTGAAACATCACTATTCACTAGTATTTCAATGGTGAAAATAACCATAAAAAGCCCTGAAACGAATCGAACTATAATGTATGTTTCAATTGTTATTAAGCTAAAAAAATAAACTAAACAACCCACCCGCTGCTATTGCTGCTGTGTCCACAATACCTCTCGCTATTTCCCCAAGAATCTAAACAGACCACCGGCTGCTATTGCTGCCGTGTCCACAATACCTCTCGCTATTTCCCCAAGAATCTAAACAGACCACCCGCTGCTATTGCTGCCGTGTCCACAATACCTCTCGCTATTTCCCCAAGAATCTAAACAGACCACCGGCTGCTATTGCTGCCGTGTCCACAATACCTCTCGCTATTTCCCCAAGAATCTAAACAGACCACCCGCTGCTATTGCTGCCGTGTCCACAATACCTCTCGCTATTTTCCCAAGAATCTAAACAACCCACCCGCTGCTATTGCTGCCGTGTCCACAATACCTCTCGCTATTTCCCCAAGAATCTAAACAACCCACCCGCTGCTATTGCTGCCGTGTCCACAATACCTCTCGCTATTTCCCCAAGAATCTAAACAGACCACCCGCTGCTATTGCTGCCGTGTCCACAATACCTCTCGCTATTTCCCCAATAAACTAAACAACCCACCCGCTGCTATTGCTGCCGTGTCCACAATACCTCTCGCTATTTCCCCAAAAATCTAAACAACCCACCCGCTGCTATTGCTGCCGTGTCCACAATACCTCTCGCTATTTCCCCAAGAATCTAAACAGACCCCCGCTGCTATTGCTGCCGTGTCCACAATACCTCTCGCTATTTCCCCAAGAATCTAAACAACCCACCCGCTGCTATTGCTGCCGTGTCCACAATACCTCTCGCTATTTCCCCAAGAATCTAAACAGACCACCCGCTGCTATTGCTGCCGTGTCCACAATACCTCTCGCTATTTCCCCAAGAATCTAAACAACCCACCCGCTGCTATTGCTGCCGTGTCCACAATACCTCTCGCTATTTCCCCAAGAATCTAAACAACCCACCCGCTGCTATTGCTGCCGTGTCCACAATACCTCTCGCTATTTCCCCAAGAATCTAAACAGACCACCCGCTGCTATTGCTGCCGTGTCCACAATACCTCTCGCTATTTCCCCAATAAACTAAACAACCCACCCGCTGCTATTGCTGCCGTGTCCACAATACCTCTCGCTATTTCCCCAAGAATCTAAACAGATCACCCGCTGCTATTGCTGCCGTGTCCACAATACCTCTCGCTATTTCCCCAAGAATCTAAACAGACCCCCCGCTGCTATTGCTGCCGTGTCCACAATACCTCTCGCTATTTCCCCAAGAATCTAAACAGACCACCCGCTGCTATTGCTGCCGTGTCCACAATACCTCTCGCTATTTCCCCAAGAATCTAAACAGATCACCCGCTGCTATTGCTGCCGTGTCCACAATACCTCTCGCTATTTTCCCAAGGACTTGACCACCCTCCTCTAACAGAGACGCCGTGTAATCTACAAACCCAGTGTTGGACCCGGGAGATGTAGCAAACTCTTTACTTGTCGTAAAATGGAGGGTTGAGTTTTCAGAGTAGGAGACTCTGTTGTTGAGTTTGTTGTCTTTGGTTTTTCTTATCAAATTTAGGAACTCTTTCACAAAGAGTGACTGTTGGGTAATGAAGGTATTATCAAGATTTTGTTTCTTTAATAAGAATGACTTTTCTATCTGCTCCACCTTTCCACTTATTGAGTCTGTGAAGGCCTCTATATCCTTCTCTGCTAAATCCTTATCAAGTCTAATTCGGTACTCCATAGACTGTTTCCACTGACGCTTTGCATCTTCAAGTGCAGCCGGAAGTTTCAAGTTAACCAGCCTCGTGAGCTTGTCCAGTTTGTCCGGAGTGGAGAGCAACTTGCAGAGAAACCATGTATTCCGGACTTCTGGCTCGTTTGGAATGTTGTGGAGCACATACCGGTTATTCTTTACGCACTGTCTCAGTTTCTGGAGAGTTCCATGGCAGCGGGTCAGGTCGCGGTCGTTGTGAATAATCCCCTGTATGTCATCAAACAGAGTTTTGTAGTTGTCAGGGTCTACGATATCATTTTCGTAACATTGAATTGACTCAGCTGCAATCGATTGAACTACTGATCGCGAAAAAAACATAAAAAGCAAGAAAAGTATGATCATCTTTTATCGTGTTGGGAAAAATGATTATGTACTGCGAGTCGAATCTGCAGATAAGGAATAAGATTCATATAAATAGAAAATTAAATAATCGAAAAATTTTAAGCTTGTGTGTGCATGCTAAGTTTCCATTACGTATCAACTTTATATTAACTTTATATCAACTTTATATCTACTTTTTACAATTTGATCTATTAGGATCATGTCATATGAATTTAGCAACAAAATAAGTTAACTTAAAGCATATTTATTTTAATTAGTGATGGAGGTTTCAAAATGAACTTAGCACAAATTCATCATAATTTGACCACTTTAGGGGGGTGGGGGGGGGTGGGCTGACATGTCCGCTAAATGTCCTTGTCCAATGTCCTTTTTGGACTCTTTGAGAAAATGGGACATTAGCGGACCTCATTTTTGGGACTTTGGCGGACATTAAATAACTATTCAAGATGATCCTGCCAATCAGACCTAAGTTTTAACACTTCAGTAAGAGCTCACCTCGTCAATAAGAACAAGAGGATTCTCAGTTTGAGTCTTCTTAAGACACTGGATAAGTTTACCGGGCATTGCTCCTACGTACGTTCTCCTGTGTCCCTTGATCTCCGCCACGTCCGACATTCCCCCAACACTGAAATTAAGGTAGGAACAGGACTGTTTACTTTAGAGTTTGAGATCGAACTTTAGAGTTTGAGATTGAAATAGGCTAGGTGCTACGATACGTTATGTAGCACAGAATTAGAGCTACCCATAAGTTATGCTATGTCAATTTTTGGCCAAGGAGTCAAAGAGTTACGCTTCGTTTTGAATGGAAGATGCATAATTTGGGCAAGCTATAAATTAAAAGCGATCATGACGAATTTGTTACCTAAATCTGAAGTATTCCCTGTTAAGAGCTTGGGCTATAGAACGTGCTATGGAAGTCTTCCCAACTCCGGGAGGTCCGGTGAAACAGAGGATTTTACCTGAAAAGACGAAATTTCTTTAAACCTAAGAGGGCTGAACTCTCTGTGATGGGTTTGGGACTTGGGTACATAGCAGTGGTGGTCACATTATATCTAACGTACCCTGCACAGTCCCCTTTAACTTTCCCACAGCGATAAACTCCAGAATTCTTTCTTTGATGTCGTCTAGCCCATAGTGATCTCTGTCCAGAACTTCGCGAGCTGAATCGATCTCATAACACTCCTCACTGTGGACAATATTAGTTGTCAGGTACTGCTAATAAATGCTTATATTTTCTTATCAAAAGAAATCAGACGAATTTTACACACTAACTTTTTTAAGCACAGATCAAACTAAAGAAACCGAATGATAAGATTTCCTGATACGAAATTAAATATTCCTAACCTTTTGATGCCCCAAGGGAGGCAAGTAAGCCAATCTAGATAGTTTCGAGTGACACTGAACTCTGAACTCTGACTTTCCAAATATTGAAGTTTCTTCAGCTCTTCTTCCACAACCTAATACAGTGTATCAGTCAACTTCCGATTTAAAGATTTGATTAATTGATCATCAAAAGCAAACTGAAGAACTGAGTAAAAGGGTAATATTTATCATTATATCTAAAACAGCACCTCAGCGATATTAGCAGGAAGAGTTTTCTCCTTGATTCTATCATTGAACTTGTCCACCAAAGCCTGCTTATCGTCCTTTTCAATACCCAACTCTTTCTTGATTATCTTCAGCTGCTCGTTCAACATAAACTTTCTCTGCATTTTGTTCACCTTTTCCTCCACTTCCTGGCCTAACTTCCGCTGTAAGCTCACAATGGCGTGCTCCTTTTTCAGGAGCTCTAAAGACAGTTGAAGTCTGTTTGGAATGTCGCATTCCTCGATTATCGTCTGCAGCTCGTGACCATCTGCACTTGTCATTCCTGCTCCAAAATCAGCCAAGTGAGGCGGATTGTCTATTATCTGTGAGGAAATAAAAATTGTTGATATTGATAATCATTTGGAACGAAAGCACAGCTTTTCAAAACCTGAATATGTTGGGACCTCCACTTTAACTTAAGTCTTACTATAATAACTCAAACTATCCCTTTTTCCTGGCAAGAACAAAACCATAATCTTACCTGTTTGCCGCTGTCAACTAGGAGCTGTATGCTCTCCTTGTAAAGTGGATTTAACTTGATAATGTCTCTGAATGTTTTGACGATCTCTCCGCTCAAAGCTTTCACTTCATCGTTTTGTTTGAATGGATCGTGCTTCAAGTTATCTGTTTCAACCTGAAATTTACAACCATATTCGTTAAGATACTGAAAATAGTGTTGAAAATAGACAAATATGATGTTTGATATACTTGATGAGAGTTCCTTAAAAACACTGATGCAACTAATGGATTATGACTTACCTGGACTATTTTATCGACAACATAACTTTTCTCCTCTTCCTCCACCTTATCCCCGGTCTTCTTAGGCTCAGCTGGTTTAGCAATATCGGTGATCTTGATTCGCCGGTGTCCCAGCAAAACAAGCCGCAACTTGTCATCCACATTTCTCATCTCAGTAACTTGGCAAAATGTACCCACGTTGTAGATGTCATCTAACTTATCAACCACATCGGACGTATTCCTAAGGTTTTAGAATTAGTTTAGTAACAGCCTGACAGTTTCCTCTCATGTCTTAACAACAAACAGAGCCGGAGTAAATTACGTCGTTATCATGTAGGTCATGCGTTACTAATTTGCGCGGCTCAGGCAGTCCGGTAAAGTTGCGTGGCGCAAATGTGGACAGGAATAAACTACCGCATTTGTCATATGTTTGGCGCTGGCGCGTTCCGTTAAGTGAGCGAATCTGGAATTTTCTGGTAGGAACGAGGCTTTTTGGCACACCGTCGTGTTGCAAAATGGAAATTTAACTTCGTTAAGGTTGCTTACTCATCATCCTTCTTTAAGAACACGCCAACATAAGGCTTGTTGAGGCGAATACGACTGCTGACTAACTCCATCAGTTCTGGATCTGATATCTGAGGAAGAAACAAACTTATTTTAATATCCAAAATAGTTTTACTTACGTTAAGTTAAGACAACAATTCTTCGTCAGAATCACAAAACATACGATGTTATCTCTCTACACATACCTCGACCATTTTGACGAACTTGGGTAGCACAGGATTCTTATTGACCGCGATACATGGCACGATAGGGAAGAATTCTGGAACATGAATGTGGGCCAAACCAGGATGTCCATCAAACGCATCATTAGACGCAGGAACTAGCGTTTTCTCTTCGGACTCTTTCGGTGCAGGTGGGTCGTCTGATTCTTTAGATGAGAATGTGCGAGTAACTGTTGCCCTGATATTATAGATTTTTACATCGTTAATAGATACAAATATTGATGAGTGTTGAAACATTCTAGACGTTGAAGCAGACACTTCTTGGACAGTTTCTTATGAAGATATTAAACTTGGGGAGGGGGGGGGGGGGGGTAAACTTACGTAACAGCTTTATTAACAGCAGGTTTTCTGAGAGCAGCTCTGCTGGAAAGCAATCTTACACCCCTCACTGTCCTATACATCAGCTCTGTGCATAAGAAAGGATTTAACTTAGATTTTACACAGCATGAAATATAATTATCAAGGGTTTAGTCATAAACGAAACCTTGGTATATTACAAGTTCGGCTTATAAATGTAACAATAATACCCAGAAAAACTCATTGCATTCGGTAAATCAGTAATGCAGAAAGTTTAGCAAAGTCAAAATTTGATGAAATAAATAGCTATGTACAGTAAATGATTTTAAAAACCTTATCACTGAAATATTTTTAAACTTAAAAACCTTAGAAACAAGTAGTCGATAATGAATAATATAAATAACTGGAACAATTTAACTCTTTAAACTCAATTTTTAAATTTCGTAAATGTTTTGACCTTAGTCAAGATAATGAAAATGATCAACTCGAGAAGAAAAAACCATAGCTCCAGAACTAGATCACTGCTGTCACAACTTAGTTGGCATAAGGTTAACGAACGATATTTTCTTAGAGTGTACACTTCTTTGTTGTCGGTATTTCCTCAGAATTTCTCTTTTTCTCTTCTCATGCAACTTTTTCTGGGCAGCTCTTGGTCCATGATTGTTTTCGTAGTGAATTCTCAAAGCTAATTCAAGACAAAACGTTTTCAAGCAGATTTCGCACTTGTGAGGTCGATCCAGATGGACATAGGAGTGCTTCTTCCGAGCATTGCGCTGTTTGAACCCTTTCCCACATTTCCGACACTTAAACGGGCGATCACCTGAGTGCACACGTAAATGCTTCAGATAGTTCACATTGTGTTGTGTCTTGTAGTTACACTTTTCGCAGTTGTATCTGTAGTTGTGGAAGTGTACTGTTTGAATATGTTCCACCAGTTTGTAAGGAATTTTACAAGTAAAGCCGCACTTCTTGAAGCGACAGTTCAAAATATCGTTAGGAATAGTGTGAATTCTCCGTTTGTGAAGCTCCATAACCTCTTTTCTGTAGAAAGTTTGATCACATACGTCGCATGTGAACTTCCTAACATTGATATGAGTCACAGCGTGTCGCTTCATATTGCTCTTATCATTAAACCTCTTGTTACAATATGAACAGATGTGAAGTTTCACACCAAGATGTCTGCTGATGTGCCTTTTTAAGCACTGCTTCGTTTTAAACTCTTTGTTGCACTGGAGACAAGGAAACATGCGAGGTTTATCTAGAACCAGTGTAAACCTTGAACCGTCCATTGAGGTGCTATCATGCAGCTGAGGGGGCCTGATATAAGGAGGGGAGTCGAGAGAAGGGCGGTTGCACTTTCTCTTCTTCTGTTCACCTTGCAGTGCTGTTCTTATGTTGTTTTGTGTCAAGAGGCGTTGCAGTTCTGTTAAGAGTTTTGAGTTTAAAGTGGGGTCTTCCTGGACAGAATGCTGGGATGTGTCTTCAGCCATCTTAGCCATCAGGGTCTGCTCATCAAGTGATATCATGGGCACTGATTTCTTGCGAGTTTGTTTAGGGGCTCTTGCTTTCTTTGGTTGTGTGCTAGTGGGCATCATGTTGCTAGTTAAAACTCTTTGAATATTAGACAGATATTCGGTCTCACCAGGTTGATTTGAGTCTGCATTTGAACATCCAGGTTTTTCGGAGGAAGCTGCAGCTGTAACTGAAACACTGTCTGACTTCTTCCTTCTTTTGATTTCTTCTTTTTGAGAGTTGTTCCTTTTTTGCTTCCTTTTCGGTTTGGGTGCACTTATGGGTTCCAACTCTTCAATTGTAAGGCCCTTAGGACTAGTTGGTTTGCTTTCTGGGGATTCTAAAGAAGGTGAATTTGTGTTCTCTGGATACAGTTCGTCCATCATATGAAACGTGGAAAGTTTCTCCAAATCACTGGCAACACTTGTTACTTCATCCTCTTTAGGGATTTCTGGTTCAGAATCATTTGAAGCTCCAGTTACTTGAGGTGTTATGGTTGATAACTCGTTTATCTTATCTCGTATTTCAGTGCTCACCACATCAAGTTGACTATTTAGAGTCTCAATGACAGAGTCCAAATTTTTGTTACTTGAGGATTTGTTCATGTTAAGTCCCACACAAATTGTGGCCTTATCAACTGGAGCATGTCCGTGGTAAGTAGGGTTACAAGTATTAGTGATGGTCTGACTGACAACACTCCTATCTGGGGTACAAGACAAATCTGGAAGATGATCAAAAGTGTCAGGCTCCAATATCTGAGCAGCTGGAATATCAGCTTTCAGACAATCTATTTGACTGGTAGACAGTTCGTGGTGCATTTCTTTGGCTGAAGAATAAGAAGGAAGCTGTTCATAGGAAGGAATATTGTGAGGCATGTTGCTGGGAGTCATGTTGCCCAGAATGTAGTGCTTTATAGGGGAGTCTAGTTCAGATATATCCAACTGAAATATTAATTATTTAAATATCAATAAATCAATGCATCGAAAAAGAAGTGAACAATTCAGGTCATATTATATCAATCAAATTCATGTATCAATCAAACTAAGGTATAAAACTGACTTACTTGAGGATAGGTGTAATAAGGTTGAAGAGAGTTAACAAAAGATGTGTGAGGAGTGACTGGATTCTCATGGAAGTTGAAACCAGTGATACCCAGAACATCCCTGCCGACCATTACAAGATGCATTAGCCAGTGAGATGGGTGTGGCATGTCTTCATCTTTAGGCATTAGTTTCATACTGATACTATCAAAACCCCCTGCATTTAACTGACTGAAATAAGAGGCTTTGAGATGTGTTGTTTATTACTATCAGGTAAAATATAATTAATGTTGTTAGTATGGCCTGTAAACTGTAAAGTGTACAAATTAGGATATATTACATTATTATATAGGATAAAATATGAACAGTATAAAATAATGAATTTAAGGGGGCAGGGGGGGTCTTCATGGAAATTTTCTCAAAATCGACTTTTTAGCTGTTTCTGATAGAGGGGAGTGATATCTATCAGATGCTTTTAATCTGATAGAAAAATATTGTTCCTAGCCGAAATTGACGCCGGTAAAAGGTTAGCGCTTGTGTGTAATTGTATTGCGCGAGCGATTTTTGATCGCGTGCCCTGAAAATCGAGTCTAAAAATCTATCTTCTCCTACATTTTTTGAGCAATCACCCTCAAACTTTAAGGATATGTTCTAAGGATCATTTAGAAGAGATTGTCCTGGCAAAATTTTGAGATAGGCCTTTAAACATTTTTTATTCGATTTTTAAAATCTTGGACCTGGTTTTTTGACGATTTTTCGAGGTCCAAGATTTTAAAAATTAAATAAAAATTGTTTAAAGGCCTATTTCAAAATTTTGCCTGGACAATCTCTTTTAAATGATCCTTAGAACATATCCTGAAAGTTTGAGGGTGATTGCTCAAAAAATGTAGGAGAAGATAGATTTTTAGACTCGATTTTCAGGGCACGCGATCAAAAATCGCTCGCACAATACAATTACACACAAGCGCTAACCTTTTACTGGCGATAATTTTGGCTAGGAACAATATTTTTCTATCAGATTAAAAGCATCTGATAGATATCACTCACCTCTATCAGAAACAGCTAAAAAGTCGATTTTGAGAAAATTTCCATGAAGACCCCCCCTGCCCCCTTAAGTATCCAAACGTCAGTCCTTACCTTGCAATAAGTTTATACAAAATGCTGAAGTCTTCTTCACTTCCCAAATGTTTCATGTTAAATTCTTGGGTCTCATCAAATCTAAAACGTAAGCTAGGGTAAAGTAAAATCATATTTACTTGAACAGTGAGCTAACATAACTACACGATACACATGATCTAATTATTGTCGACAATTAATTTGATTTGTAAGAAAACGATACGTAAGCCATCTGAGAGGTTAAATCATAATCAAAAATTATGAAAATTAAAAATTTGTGATTCAATTTAGACGAATAAAACGACCAATATAGAGGGATAAAAAGTCGAAAAAATAAAAGTTCGAAGTTGAATTTACTGTCATAACATTTCATAGAAACATTTAAGATCAAGAACTTGTAGATTGCAAGCTGGTTTACTTTCCTGAGCAATTTACAGTAACATGAAAATGCCTGGAACAATTTTTAATGACAGGACAGAGATATCTTAGCCCAATTTGCTTTACATGCCCAGCTCAACTTATAGCTAAAAACTTGCTATAAATTGACAAACATTGCATTATTTGTGACTGGGACACTTTCAAGCTCAATAAATATTACCATAAAACAGACTACTGCTTAGCTTTTTTGGCTTTGATTTGCTCAACTAAATCTTTATACCTCCGCATACAATCTTTCTTCGACCTTGTAGCCACAAGCTTGGCAATATTGTCCCATCTCTGTGGACCCACTGACTGAGGAAACTTCTTCAAACCCTCTTCTAGAAGCTTCTGTTCTTCTGCTGACCAAGCCAATTTCTTCTTCTTTTCTTTGTCTTTTTTATCATCAATGAGAGTTGAGTTCATGGTATCCTTAGTGCTAAGACCGCCTACAGCATTGACACCATCTCCAATTCTGGACTTCTGAGAGTTTTCAAAGTTATTATATGCTTGTTCATTGGTTTTACTTTTCAGATCATCACCTTCTCTTGATTGTAAGTTCTTGACCTTCTGTATGATATCCTTGCTAACATATGACGAGCAGACTGTACTGTGCTGATTGAGGTAATCGGCAATCGTGTTCCATCTGTTCACTGTTCCTGGTGGATGAATTTTCACAGCCTTGACTAAAAGAGCTATGTCCTGAGTTGAAAACTTATCAGAGCTGATGCTTTGGTCTTTATGAAGATCTTGACTTTGCTTGGCTTTTACTAAATTTTCTTTTGTTTTTGTTTCTTGTGCTTCCAAATGTGAAGTCATGAAAGAGTTGTAAAGTTTAGTAAACTGATCTACATTCTTGTTTATTGCATTCAGTTTTCTAAAGTCGTCAATGGTAAGAGCCTGAAGTAAGAGATCCAAGTTCTCCATGGATTTTACAATATTGTCATCTTTTGTACAAAAATAGTTATTGTTCTTTACACAATCTCGAACTTTCTTTCTTTCTCCTTTGAGGAGCTTGTTTTGCTTTTGCCTTTCTACCTTCTCAGCGTCTGCCTTCTCTTTTTCCAGCTGGATACGTTTCTGTTCTTCTTCCTGTCTAATGCGCTCTTCTTCCTCTTTCTGAAGACGTAAAGCTTCTTGTTCTTGTTTGTAAGCCTCCTGTTTGGCAAGTTTAGCTTCAATCTTTCGTTTCTTTCTGTCTTCATTGAAAGCTCTAATTCGAGGGTCACAAGCATAACAATTATCCACAAGCTGGCGCATTCTAGTCATTTCTTCCTTTTTACGTCGAATACGCTCTTGCTTGTTCAGCTTATCTAAATACCTTCTTTCTTCTTTACAGTCTGCTTTGTCCCTTTCTTCTTCATCAAGATACGAGTATTCTCTCCAGCTCTTAAAATCGTACCAGAAATTGTAAAAATCATTCACATAGTCAATTTCATCTATTTCTGTGCCAAGCGTTGGGACATTTTTGTTCATCGACCACTGTGCATTATTTTCTATGATTATTCCAAACACTTTGTAGAAATTTTGTTTGTTGTGCTCAGTGACGTTGGGCACATCATCATCAAACTCAGGATCAACACTGTCATAGGCACGCTTTCCATCTATCACACAAAGTTGTTCATATGCTTTCTGTATACATGTGAATGCTTCTTCATCAACTTTGGTATTACCTTGACTTTTATCTGGATGACACTTAAGGACCATGTACTTGTATGCTTTTTTAACATCCTTCGTTGAGGCCTTAACCCTAAGATTGGGAATACCTAGAACTCTGTAATGATCCTGATCTTTCCAATCTTTAGCCTCAAGACTTTTAATGTATTTTACATCAATCACAATGTCACTTTCTGATAAATGCTCTTTTTCATCCTCTGAATCATCACCACCTTCAGCATCAACAAGATTATATCTTGAACATTGGTAATCAAAGTATGCTGATCCAAAAGGATACACAAATGCTGTGATGGGAGGGGACAATGATCCTCTGATGTCAACGGTGAAAGTCATGGCAGATGTCTTACAACTCTACCCCTGGAAAAATATTTTAGTTAATTATGATAATGTTATATATCTTAATTGGAAAAAATAAATCTTCTAATGCATTTATTTACAAAATCAACAAATAAAGACTTAAAATTTAAACATGTCTAAAAATAATGTGATTTATAATATCAAGACCAACAATCAGCCATTCATTTTAAGAATTATAATTAGTATAACAGGTCATACATGGCAATAATTGGATCTAGAATGGATTCTTGAAAGATAGAAGTATAACAATAGTTTTTTGGTGACGGAAGCTTCAAAAAGACTGTGTTAATCGTTTTCAATTTATTTTTAACTTAAAAATTATTCAAACAATGTACACATAATTGTCACATAATTTATGAAATATTTTAAAGTGTCGAAATTTAACAGAGTTTAAAATGTTCATAACTTAGACAAATTTACAGACAATGGATTTTAACGTTAGATGCTACTTATTATTTATCCAACCTAAGGATGTGTGTGATGATATTTTGTAGACATGATGTGATATCATACATTTTACTTTACTTTACTTTACTTTAAGCCTTAAGGCATCCAGAATATGTGGAGTTCTTAACTCAAAACGTTCTCATTCGATGACGAAACGAGGCCAGATGCACTGTAATGGAGGAAATCTATGAAACTTTCAAGGAATCTAAGTTTGACCCATGTTTGTAACCCATAAAATGTTCACGCAAACGTTCTCATTTAATGACGTAATGAGGTCAGATCCACTGTCATGTAGGAAATCTATGAAACTTTCCTGCAGATTTCTCAACAATGTGTGGCTGTGTGTGTGGTGTGCTGTATATATGGTTGAAATTGAAATTGAAACTTGAATTTATTCATGAATATAACATTATGTATAGATTGTTTTGTGGTAAATAAAAATGTTGTCTTTCTCAAGGAATCTAAGTTTGACCCATGGCCATGTGTGTAACCCATAAAATGTTCGTGGAAATAGATGCAAAAAATGAAGACAAACCAAGATCACATTTGCCATCTCTTTACTATATATATCTATACGATGCAGATAAGATGACCGAATACATTCAAGCAAATAAATATCAAATCACTGCACTATGTTCACAGATCACACAAGAACTATGAAAATTATTATGATAATTTCAGCAATGGTAATTGTCTAGCTGTAAGGATAAACATTAAACACCCTCGAAAAATGAATAAACTAATAAAATAGATTCAATTTTATAAAAATGGTACACATTTTTAAAACCGGGGTAAAAAACTCTTTGTAATATATAAATGCAAACGCGATGATTATGGTTACAAAAATGAACAAACAATGGAAAAAATAAAAGCACCACGATTTTTTTAAAGGTGCTGTTTTTACCAAAAGCTTGATTCACGATGTCAATTTTTTGCAGCTCGGCAAGGCCCTTCACAGGCAATATAAAATATTGAATAAATTACATTCAATTTTAGCAATGGCCAATTGGCTGACTATAGGTCATGGCCTGAACAAACGGTTTTTTTAAATAGTCAAGTGATGCTAAAGCAGAGCACAAATGTGTAATAAGTTAATAGATTAAAAACTGATTCATGTGATGCATTACGCAGAGCACAGATAAAAATACTGATTCAATGATTAAAATTATAGCTGTGAGTGTCAATAAATTACTGTGTCATAGAAAAGGAACGATGTACACGTGATCTGAGATACCAATATCTCAATATCAAAAGGATAGTGTCTAGAAACATTCATAGTCCATGGTGGCAGGTATCAAGTTAAACGAAGTTACACTGACTGGCAATGTATACGATTGCCGTCTCCCTCTCTCACCCCTGACCGCTATCAGGGTACTCCTGAGGATTGAGAATTTAATCCTGGTGCGCATGTAACACATAATAGCTGCATAGTCTTCTCCCCTCTTCTGGGATAGTTTTTCAGCGAGTCTCAGCGTATACACATAGCCATGTGTATACGCGTACTGCGTGACACGCTTGTTTCACAAGTAGAATATATATATTTTTGCTGCCTTCGGCGGTCGCGCGCTACTGCAAGCGATAAGGGCTCTGGTTAGAGCAAGCAAGGCCCAGGCCCCAGTGGTGCATTTTTCCAATATACTGTGGTTGCAAAAAACATTGTCATACGTATTTATTACGTTGTATGACCCACCGTGCACGATTGCGCGGCTCTTCCTTGGAGGACTTCGCCGCTTCGACGCGCCGCGCAAACTAGTATTGTAGCATTATTGCATTCTAGCATTTTCCTAGCATTCTTGCTAGCATTGCAAACTAGCATTATTGCTAGCAAACTAGCATTTTTGTATCGTCGTCGATCGTTGCTCTGCTTCGCAGCTGAGCAACGATCTCGACGGATTGACATCGTCAATTAAGGCTCTTCCTGTATTGTAAAAACTTTACTATAGTGAAACGACATTGGGGTCACGACGTGATACAAGATAAGCATTTTTGATGCGCGGCCCAGTAGTGCATCGCACTACAATGTGTTCAGAATCAAAATATGCATTTATAAAAATCATTTAGAATGCTTTTGGAAGAGAACAGCCTGCTCAAAAACGCTATTGACTAATTTCTCTGTGAAAAGTACAATAGTGTAAATAGCTTTTGTTGATTTACCTCAAAATTGATGTTCATGTTAAACGATTCCTCGTTTAATATTGATCGCCACTTGACAACTTGTAGCGTAACGGGTGATACTCGTAAAATATTTGTCCCAGGCCAAGACCGTCCGCGACGAGTTCAACTCGGCGCGCGTCCTGGTTGGTTGTAAACCTACAACTTGTAGTGCGATGCGTTACTGTGCCGCGCCGCGCACTCAATGAGGCTTCTCGCAACGACAGACTAGCATCACCCATCGGCGAAATGCGCTACTGTGCCTCGCTGAGCTGCGATGAATTGACATCGTCAATTAACTTGACAACTTAATGCAGAATCAAGCAAGTTACAAAAATATTTTATACGTATCCAATTGGATGTGTTTTCAGTGGAAATAAAGTGCGCACCTTTTGCTAAACCAAAAGCTACAATCTGTTTAAATGGACTTTGCTTTGTTGTTAAAATATCAGAACTAATTTACGTGCGTGCGCGGCTTGAGCCGCGCCGCATAACAATTTATGCGTTTAGGGGCTGGAGTACGCGTGTTTACAGATTAATGAATTTTTGCATTGTAAATATTTAAAGTTGACGATATATTATGATTTAATAGTAAATTTTTCAAAGCTGGCTTTGGACTTAGGTAAAATAATAACGTATTTATTTAAAAGAAAAAACCACGGATAGTTTTAAATTTACATAGTCGTATAACTATAATCAAGTTAATCCTGTTTTCAAGAATGCGCGGCTTTGGCGGCCAGTTATTGACTTGTACATAAAATTGAATTTTAAATAGAAATGTGAATGTATTAAAATTTAAAACTTTCAAAACGGAGGCTTATAAATATTATTATACTATGATTGTAAAATAAAGGATAAAATTTTAAATTTGTTTCACTAAAATTTGTTTCACTAATTTAGAGCCAATAAATTGAACTAGCTACTTCTACTAATTTAAGGGGTTTTTAAAATTTATTAAGATTTTTTATTGAATTTCATATTGAATTTTTATATAGGGTCAATGCTATATTATGTGTATATCATATTGTTTTAATCATTAATGAAAATTATGTTACAAACTTAAGTTTAAATGGACTTTTTCTTTAACTTGAATCAGTCTTTCAGCAATATTGCCATTAACATCCCCATTTTAAAGCATAAAGGAAATTGGGCGTTTCGAATAAACAGGTTCCACGGAATTTCGCCAAGATATGAAATTGGTCAGGCTGATTTCTTAATTCCGGTACAGCATACCTCATTACTTACGATGTACGAAGCGAGAAGTTATTTTGTAATTTATGAGGCGGTAAACTACAATTTATGTGCACAGCTAGGTACCTTAGCAAGTTAAAAGATTCAAGTACCAATGGCTAGCTCCATCCTAATTGAACCCTTAATCACCAACTCCCGACTATTCAGCTGGGTCAACTGCAATACATATAATACAAGAGATTACATATACCTAATTAAGTCTATCTCACACTCTTTGACATTAATGGCACAAATTAGTTGCGAACTTGCAACATTACCCCCAAAAGGAGACCGATACAGTTTGGGCAAAATCCCTCAGTAGACGGTTCAGTTACTTGCTTTTGTCTTCAAAGTTCATGAGGTTAAGTATTCCGAACTGATGGAAACTGAACATAGAGCTAAAGTTAGAGAGAACATGCTGCCTGGATCTGGGGTATATCTTTGCCGAGAGCTGTAAAAGTTTCTATGAAAAAATTATTTATCGAGTTCAACGGCCAGGTAGCGCAGTTGGTTAGAACGCCTGTCTTACAATCGTTAGATTGCGAGTTCGAATCCCACTGACTGCCTGGTCGTGGGGTGAGCGTCGTCGACGTTCAGCTAAGGATCATGAGTGGTCTATGCAGCCCCCCGGTCTACTCAGCCGAATACTCGAGAAATCGGGTGTGAGGGTTAAATGAGGAGCTGCACATTGCAGCAAAGTCTCGGGCGAAGAAAGTATGGTACACACTACCTTAACCGTCACTGGCCAAAAAAAGATCCTTCGGCTTCCTGTAATTGGCTGGTTACACTTGTGTAACAATGTGGCTGTTGGAATACACCGAAGTAAAATAAGTGTCTTGATAAAAAATAAAAAAAAGTGTCACTTGTACAATGTACACAAGGCTTAGAAAATTTATGACTTCTTTGTGGTCAAAGTAAATGAATAGCTGTTTTATAAGCAAATTATTAATTGCCACTCCTTTTGCTTCAATAGACTAATCCCAGATACCAATGCTTTTGGGTTATACCCTAGTTTTGTAGGGTTATACCCTAGTTTTGTAGGGTTGTTGATGTCAAGTGTGAATGCCATTATCCATAACTTCCACAGATCGATTCTTTGATTCACCCATGTGGATGTGAGTACTTATGTTATTCTTAATGGAAGTATAAGTGTGGTCTAGGCAGTGACATAACGTTGCATTTTGGTGCCCCTTCTTTCAAAATTCAAACTACGATTCGGGGCCTCCCTAAGATGGCCCCCCCCCCACTGCAGGGTCAGCGGGGCCTGGGGAGGAATGTATGATGAGGAAAAAAATGTATGTAAATGTTTGTTTCGTAAGGATCTTTACCCCTATAATAGCTATATGTGCATATTGATCAAAATGCACCAGTCAAAAGATCCATAGTTTGCATAAATTTAGTGTTGCTTTTGTTAGAATTAAAGTAATTTAATCTTAATTCTGAAACGTAACTATTTATATTTGGATTCAATATCAAGTTTGTCAATTTGTTTGTGATAAGTGCATTTTGTATGGAATTTTTTATAGACATATTATGTACTTATTCTTTCTTTATTAGAGATGGCACGCCATCTTGATGAAGAGATACAGTGGAGAAAAGCACAAGACTGGCTATACTCTACAGGTATGAAATTAATTTTAGTTTACAGGTATTTAGAATTTTCAGTATCATAATGTGCTCGACTTTGTTACTGATCATTTGGTCAGAAGTGCGGCTCTCTCAAAATATCAATTTTCTGAGTTACTTTTGAACAAATTATTACATGTTTAATTTGATGAATAGATCAGCCATCACAGTAAGCTCCAAAAGATCTTGTGTTTATATTACTAATTAATTAAGTAGGTAATTAATTGCTTAAACTCTAGTTTAACTTCCTTGTCTCTGTTTGCACCTCAACATTTGCTAAACAAGACGTTTGGCTAAAATTTGTTTCTCTAATCTATTTAAATTATTGCAGGAAAGCTATCTCAACCATGCAGGGAACTCTTAGACTTTGCCATGAGTCTGGTGGATGGTATTATGTTATGTGAAGTGGCCAATTTTCTACATCCTGGGGCCATCAAATCGTTTAACTACAGACCATCAATCCAATTTATGTGTGTCAAAAACATCGACAACTTTTTAAATGCATGCATCAAATTCTTTGGATTCCAGACCCACGAGCTTTTTACTGCAACAGAGCTCCTTGAGGTTGAAAACTTTGGAAAGGTAAATGATTGATAGACCACTGTTGGGGATTGGGGGATGGAGCATATTATGTGAAACATAATGTGACAACATGTGACTTAACACAATGAATATTCAAAATTTGCTACTAAATATCAGTTATCAACTGTCTGCTCCACTTCCCCAGTTCAATCTATACAGTATACATTGTACATTATACATTATACATTATACAGTATACATTGCTGCTATTTACCCAATTATTTCAAATATAGAAGTTGTTTGTTTTTGTCATCATTCTGTTTTGTATCTGTTACATGATACGATCTCATCATTCAGGTCGTTGAAGTTCTCTCTAAGTTATCCCTTACCAACCAAGCGAAGACGGCAGGTTTGCAACCCTTCAATTGCTACTTCGACGACCAGGAGCTTTATCACACTCTTCAAAGAGATGCGGAATCTAGGAGTGAGGATATCTATAGTAGGATTGAGGATATCTTTCAGTTTGATCGCACTGTCGACTATTCTTACCAAGAAACCTCGTATCAGCAAGAAAGCATCTACGAGGACATTGTTAAGATTAAACAGTATCGGATGGACAAGCCTAATGATAAACGAGGCTATATGATCGATGAGCTATTTGAAACAGAGAAAAACTATGTCCAGGTTTTAGAAATCGTCATAACTCATTTTTTAGAAAAACTCAAAATCATTTTGACTAACGAAGACATTAAAGTCATTTTTCAAAATATCGAGGAGTTGAAAAGGATTCACGAAAAACTCTTACAGAGACTTAAATTAAGTTTAGACAATGGGGGTCTTACGATTGGGGACTGTTTTATAAAAACGATTGAGCAGTTCTACAAATATGGGAATTATTGTGCATGTCTTGACGCTGCAGCTCAGAAAATTGACGAACTTATGTCAGACTCAAAAATAGCAAATGTGGTAAATCGCTGTTCTCAGGAATCTCAGCAAAGGTTTTCTCTGAAAGACTTGCTTAAAGTTCCAGCTCAGAGGATTTTGAAATATCACATGCTTTTAGAAAACCTTCATAAAACAACCCCTGACAATCCGGGACTTCAAGAGGGATTTAGAATCATGAAGGCATTGGCTTCGTTCATTAACGAGTATAAGAGGAACTTTGAGCAAAAGTTGGCCACAAAATCTATAGAGGAGCGAATTTTAAACAGAGATCTTGAAGACTTGTATGCATATGGAAAACTTTTAAAGGATGGCGAAGTTATGCTGAAAAGTTCTAACAAACCGATAAAACGATTCGCATTTCTTTTTGAGAGGTGTGTCTTAATATGCAAAAAATCGGAACATTCCAATTTAGAAATACAAGTTTCTCTAGACTTTGATACTTATGAAATCGCTGAACAATTTGATCCTCCTGGTGGCGGTAAATTTAGCTTTGGTTGGTCGATGAAAAACAAAGTGGACATTCTTCAACCTCCTTATCAGATATTTGTCAAAACGGCAGAGCAGTGTGCTGTTTGGTTAGCAAAGCTTCACGAAGGATACCACATGTTACGTTCCCCCTCACACCTTCAGTGGGAACACAAGTTTTGCTTGTACAACTTTTCCACCTACACAACATGTGAGGGATGTCAGGAGATCCTAAGTGGAGTCTTTCTCCAGGGCCTACTCTGTCAGTCCTGCAACATAGCGTGTCACCGACACTGCAAAGCCATGATCAGTGACTGCAAGAAGTCACGTATGATGAGCCGAGGTTCTAGTTACAGCAACAAGGACCTACCCTCGTTACCCTCCACCGCCTCCCTGGGTAGCATCTCCGGCTACAATATCCCGGACCTGAACTCTGACATGAACGCTATCCATGTTGACGGAGCACCTCCTACTCCTAGCACTGTTTCTCCTCCTCCTATCCCTCCCCGAGTGCCTAGTCTCAAGGTTAGTCTAGTGTCTTAGTGATATAACGCGTGATCACTCATTATCTGTACTGTCAATTGTTTGTTTCAACTGGAGTAGTGATGGTAATGATAACACTTCAATTAATATTAAGGTAATTGATAAAGTTGCACTATGCTATGGTTATTTGTTAATGTAGAGGAACTAATTGAATCCCTATTGAGGTGCTGGTTATTTGTTAATGTAGAGGAACTAATTGAATCCCTATTGAGGTGCTGGTTATTTGTTAATGTAGAGGAACTAATTGAATCCCTATTGAGGTGCTGGCCACTTCCGACTCATAAATTCCTTCCCCAGTGCAAGTGATGTCTAGAAACCAAACAGGCTTCACGTAGATTAAGATATAACAAGTCTAAGGGCGCGTGTTAAATATTTAGGGAGTGCATTATTGTAATATACTGGTTTGTATCAAGATACAAGTTAGTGCATTTTATGTACTTCACAATCTTCTCAATTTCAATTTGTTTTGTGATGTTAAGTCAAGTGGACTTCATAGTTCATAAGTTATCATATTTACGACAAAGGGCATTTGAGTCCTTCTGTTCAACTTAAACGGCTTTATCAATGTAATTGAAAACTTGAGAATAAAATTTGCCAATGCAAATACCACAGTATATTTTTAGAATGTTATTTTGAACATTGAAACATACAATCACACTGCTCATTAGAATGTATTAAGATTAAAAATACAAAAACAGGAATTTAGTTGCATTGTTGCATTGTTTGTCATAAATCAAGTCTGGCTAAATTTAGTTACTGTATTTCCTTGACAGTGTAACCGATGTTGCTCTGGTCTAAATTTAAACGTTCAAGCCCGAAGGTTGTGATATTTGCTTAGATTCTTCAAGGGTTCAGTTTTCAAACAGTCTCACTGTTATGTTAGTGTTAGCAACTTCTCAACTCTCATGATCATACCCTCTAATATTGTCGTGGTAGATAAAAGATCCATGTTATACTATTAGTGCCTGTTAAAATCACTTGTCAGATGATTATCTTACGGTCTCACATTTGGTGTATAAATTATGTCTAATGGGCGGTATAAAAAATGAATGATTGATCATTCCTTGATATTCGACCTTGTTTTCATATTTTATGAGTTCTGCTCAACCCTTCTGAAGCTCAACAAGCCGTCTACAGTACAGAGGTACAGTTTTATCTGCCTTAGTTTCGCTTTACAATTACTGGTAATGCTACTTAAAAATCAACACCTTGAAAATTTCACAGGGCTCGGACCTTAACTTTACTTGCACAGTTTTTAGACAAATTAAGTAGTACTACGTCTAGTATCACGTGTAAATTCACGATATACTATTCGATACTAACGATATAATACTATTCGATACTAACTGGTAAAGTTATAATGTTTAAAACGGTCTAATTTGTCGAGGGAGTTACAGATTCTATAGTTAACACTAGGCAGGTTAGACGGTTGAGCTCACCTTATTCAGAGATATTTCCCGAGGAATTCGTTATAAGAGGATATATTCTATACAAAATTATAATCTTTCTAGCATTTTAGTCTGCTGATAATCCCTAATCATGTGATCAAGCTAAAAAACCGGAAATGTATTTTAATTTTCCAAAAGTTTTAGTGAGATCACTGACATTACACGCAAAACTATCATTTGAGTAGATGCTAAGAGATCATTCTCTCAGATCAGATCATACTGAGGACTAGTAGAGTTGAAATGATCATTTCTTCTGTCCTCTTTCTGTATAACATGTCACAAATTTATTGTCCGCCTCATCGTTCAGCTGTATTGCTTAATCCCCAATCTTATTTAATTTTACTGATCTTCCCGAGCCGTGTTCGACAGATAAAAAAAGATAAATCCCGTAACATTTGATGCTGGACATAAATTATGTTCAAACAAATTTCGACATTTTTTGTTTCCGGGTTTATTATAGCTGTCAATAACTTCCATGGAAAGTTGCCGCTATAGGTAAGGCCAGCCTATCTGCATATAATATTTGTAGATATATACGGTGAGAAGTTGAGTGATCTAGTTTGTAACCAAGGCCAGTAGAAAGTAAACAAGGAAACATGTTGAGGAAGTATAGACTGCACTGGTGGGTTATTCCACCTTCAGTCTGTTTTACTATTTTTCTGTTCCTGTCGATACTATATAGGCTCGACGCTACTAGATAGGCTTGTCGCTATTAGTCGCTATTAGATAGGCTTATCGCTACTAGTCGCTATTAGTCGCTACTATAATAGGCTTGTCGCTATAAGTCGCTACTAGATAGGCTTGTCGCTATTAGTCGCTATTAGTCGCTACTATATATAGGCTTGTCGCTATTAGTCGCTACTAGATCGGCTTGTCGCTACTAGTCGCTATTAGTCGCTACTATATAGGCTTGTCGCTGTTAGTCGATATTAGTCGCTACTATATAGGCTTGTCGCTATTAGTCGCTACTAGATTAAGATGACTACAGTTTTGCCGTTCTTATGAAAATCTGGACTCTGATTATGGGGGCATATCTTTAGCTGACCATCAATCATGGAATTATATTCTTTTTTGTTTCCAAGCAGCCCGAAAGAGTGAAAGCAGCGGAAAGTAGAACCCAATAGAATGATAATGATGATCTGCTGTTAATTTATCATTTTATTCTATCCTTATAGCCATTCCCACACGTTTCTGAATAACCATGTACATTGAAACCCTGACCTTACAACATTTGAAGATTACCCCTCTCGTCTCTCTGAAGATCAGTTCACGATCTGAACCCTAGCCTATACTAGCCTGTTTTCAATCTTTCATTTCCAAACCATTGTATTCACTTTAGTTGACATTTTTAACAACACGAAAATAACATTTGAAAATAACAAATATGTAACATTTTGAAAGTTTATTGATAAACATTTTTAGAAACGCCAGATTCAAGCTTCTTTTCAGTTAAATGTGTGGTTTGATCCATTTTTGTTCCTTCTTCCCTATCTCAAGCCCGGGCAATTTGAAATTGTTGAGTAATAACTAGGGATAAATCCAGCAAATGAGTGATCTTACACGCTAATTCATAATGCTACCAACTGTCAGAGGGCATGGTGTTAAAGTTTCATGACATATTCTAATTAGTTCATCATTAGTTCATTTATTAGTTATCTGACAGCTCCACATACACTGCATACCGGATTCATGTTATTTAGCAATTCGTGCCGCCCTTTTGGATTCTTCTTACCGATCTTGTTAGATGTGTTTAACAGACCTAGCTCAATTACATTCCCTGTTTTATTTCCTCTTAATTGCTCACTTTGTCGGTTGTAAATGCTGACCAGATTAAACGTAATGCTCTTTGGTAGGCCCAGCCGGTCTTTTTTTAACGTTCTAGAATTTTACAAGCCATTAAGCAAGTTCTAGAAATTTGTGGTAGTTAATTTTTAGTTAGTGAATACTGAATAGTGGGAGACGCTTGACAGGTTATTTGAAAGTCTTCAGATACTAAGAATTGGGATCATGTGAACCTCTATATACCGGGTTCTTTTATACCGTGCACTTTTCGTTTCCCCCGAGGAGCCCAGTATAGAGAAGTTTGATGTTGTTATAGGGATGCAGATGCGATCATAATAGTTTTTCTTTATAACCCACAACTCTATCTTTAATCTTCACCGTGCAGCTATGATGCTTCTTGCTTATAGTTATGTGTTCAAACCTGTTTTTGTCGCTACGAACAATAATATTAAGACAGTATAACATAGATATTCAGCTATGCAAGGCATCATAAAGAATCTTTATCTTTTCCAGCTCAAGTTTTTCAGGAAGTTAAATTGTATGCCAGCCTCACCAACGTGACATATTTAATAGTAACTGATCGCAAATTCGTTTAGTTTTGTTAAATATTTGTTACGTGAATTTCTGATTTATGAAGGAGCACCTGACATTCATTCACCAAACCCAATTTGCTCTCATTTTTAAGTTCTTTCTCTGTTTTTGCCTTCAAATTTTGACAAGTTTCTCTGCTATTAGATTGATTTGGAGAGATCAGATTCCGGCTCGAACTCAGAGACAGAAATTTTTTATGAAAATATGACATCTGGAGGATCTTCAAGTTCAAGTTCAGAGCCAGCTAAAAACTTTTATTCCACGGATCCGCTGGAATGCAACAAAATTTTGGTGGTAAGAAATCAGCCCGAGTGAGATTTCATAAAGTTATGAGAACTTGTTTTACCCACAGTCTCCTAATGAAGGTCCTACGGAACCTATGATTTTACCCTGACTCTCATGTGATCCTGACTCTCATGTGATCCTGACTCTCATGTGATCCTCTGATTTTCTAGCACTGGTCATCAGTACATTTAAATGCGAGTCTCTCTATTGACGTGATAATCTAATATATAATATACAAATCCCAATTTATGTTTTATCTGGTGCTGAAATACTAGCCCACTTGTTTTTGTACCGCTGTCAACTCTTCAAAACCACTTGAAGACTAGGAAATTAGGAATTATACAGTGCTACAGCTTTTTAACTCTTTGAATTTTGTCTTCAGTTTTGCTTGAACCACAATAATTTGAGCATCTTGAACTAAATTCCATGAATATTTCAGGACAGCAGACGTTCCATTCCGACTACCCCGACCTTCAATTCCCGCTCCCCCTCATTCGACCGAGGTTCTGCTGCTTCACCCCAACACTTCACTATTCAGGGGGACCTGTATGTATGTACTAAGGATTACAATGGTGGCAACATATCTGACGTGTTTGAACCCACTATAGTGCTCAACAGGGGAGAATTTGTCGAGGTAAGCGGTGTGATTTACTGTGTTCTCATTGGGTTTGATGTGGTAATTCTCTACTCGGTTAAATACATACCTTTCTTTGTACTTTAAAACAAAAGCACTATGTATTGGATAGCGGCCAGGATAATCGTCTAGCACCTTCAAAGTGACCCTCATAGCAGAACAGTAAATACTGCAGGTAATGAAGAAAGATCACCCAATGTATTGGAAAGGGAAGAGCCAAGCCTCAGGGCAGACGGGATACTTCCCTTCTGAGAACGTGAAGATGTACTCTCAGACTCGAGCAGACTCTATCGGGTCTGCCATCATGCCCAGTCCTACACTGAGGCAGCAGTGTAACGGACAGATGCTGTACAATTTCCCTTGGTATGTGGGAGAGATGGACCGCAACGGTGGAAGGTCAGTTATAAACTTATTAATTATTATATCTGTTTTATTTGATTGTATACTGTAAAATTGAGCTTCTGTCTCGTCAATACCGTATAAATATAATCCCGATTTACCGTACAGTTTGGGGGATAAGGAAATAGTACGCGTACGGTAAATTTAATCTGGGTACGGTAAATCAGGATCTATAGACTTAATATTATGATTGTTGTTTACAATCAATGATGCTTCGTGACGCTTGTGTCCGTTGCTTGTGTTGCACACGTGACGCTTGTGTTGCACATGTGACGCTTGTGTCCGTTGCACAAGGTTGTTAAATACGTATTAGGAGGGAATACGTATTGGAATACGAATACGTATTAATCCTCGAAAATTGACGTATTACGACGTATTCTTTATTCAAAAAATTCAAAAATTCAAATATGTTGAGGGGACTGAACTTTAGAAAATGGTCTTAAACTTTGATAATATTAATTGCGAGATCGTTTTAGGAAACGAAATCATTAAATATGTATTAATATGTAATTGATAATTTCGCAAAAAATGTTAGCTTATTATCCATGAAATTTGATTACAAATTTAAGTTATCATGTATAACTGCACTCCTTTAATGCATGATCAATGATGAGGGTGGCGCGCAGCTGTAATGTTTAATTTTGACAAATCAGCGTATTACGGCGTATTATGGCGTATTCGTGGACGTATTTAACAATCCATAGAAATTACCGTATTCCGGCGTATTACGACGTATTCTTTATTAGAACCGAATACGTCGTATTCTTTCACGAAAATTTGACGTATTTAACAACCTTGCCGTTGCACACGTGACGCTTGTGTCTGTTGCACACGTAAAATCCCTTTTCACAATTCCTAACATTTTGAGAAATCCTTGAAAGTGCAAGTCCCCACTTACATCCAGTCCTTTCGAATGTTCTAGAAATTGTCTCTCCCAAAAAACGCCGTAAGGACTGTCATGTGTAAAAGTATCATATGTCATAGAGTGACAACGGTGACACCCTGTCAGTGACATATGCTATTTATCACTAGATCCGCTGTTTACTATCCCTTCCCTCACACCTTTACCGTGACTTAGCTCACACATCATAATACTATATTAGTTCACATCATTTGTGTTGATAACCGCACCCCCAGTAATAGCAGACACGGACCAATCAGTGAAAACACGTACGCAATTACTGTTCAAAACACGACTTGTACATTGTACAACTGAAATGTATTAATACTGAAATGTCTGGCATTTACTGACCATGTACAATGTCACACTGCTGTCTTGACCTAGTGCCCTGTGTCCCGTTTGTATCTAGGGACTGGTAAGTAAGAGGGACTGCGTATCAAGTCACACACTTAATAGGCCTGCACGAGATTCCAAACATTTCCGGCGAAATGTGAAGCGATACTGAATATCATACCATATATAATATTAGGTGTGTATTTAGTAAGCTGATATGCGGGGTGCCTGATGTCCCCCGATTTTAGGAATTTGTCAGCTAACACACAAAGTGTAAAGCAACATTGTTTCAAAAAATAGTAGTTTTAAAACGATTTGTAATTTCTGAGGCCTCAATTTATCAACAATGCGCGGTAAACATTAAATGATTTGTAGGTAGGACACGTCTCATATGTAATAATACCGCAAGCTGCGGCCTTGACAAGTGAGACTGTTAAAAGTGGCATGTGTCGTTGTACTTTGGAGAAGCTGCCTAACTAAGATGTAACTTTTGTAAACAAGGAGATGCTGTGCTGTTGTAAGGTTTACCTGTAACCATAGTGTGAAGTGTAGCTGCGTAGCAATGCAGCACAATTGCGAAGTCTTACACTCCACAATTTGCTGCTCTCTCATGTGGTTTTGAGACTGTGCCAACTTTTGTCAAAAGTCAGAGCTTACAATCACACCATTAGAAATATTATATACCTTAAAATTTCTTGGTAATACACAAATTTTCGAACGTTTAAAAGCTATAATACCTCAAATAAACCCCTAATTGATTTACAAAACATGCCCTGCAACCTAACATTTCTATTTTTAGAACCTGACCCTTTTCTCACAGGATGATGCTGGAACCAGCCACAGTTCCTGACGGCTGCTACCTGGTCAGGGAATCCAAGAACAGAGTCGGCCAGTACTCCATCGACGTTAAATTCAACTTTCTTGTGAAGCATATAAAAGTGGTGTACTCTGATGGCACCTTTTGTCTGGCCCCCTCCAAGACCTTTAGCTCGATAGTGGAGTTGGTTACCCACTACCAGCACAGCACCCTGGGTCAAGTCTTCAGGGATCTTCAGACTAAACTCTTGGTGCCTTACCGATGTTTACCTGGATCATGATGATACTTGTGTGAGAGGAACTTAGACGTTCTCTGTTACATGTCTGTCAGATCGTGCTAGTGATCAGACTGCAATTGGTGGAAGTGCTACTTCTGAAATGGAGGTGCTACTTCTGAAATGGAGGTGCTACTTATGAAATGGAAGTGCTACTTCTGAAATGGAAGTGCTTCTTCTGAAATGGAAGTGCTACTTCTGAAATGGAAGTGCTACTTCTGAAATGGAAGTGCTACTTCTGAAATGGAAGTGCTACTTCTGAAATGGAAGTGCTACTTCTGAAATGGAAGTGCTACTTCTGAAATGGAAGTGCTACTTCTGAGACGGATAATTAACTTCATGGCCTGTATATTTTACAGTAAGTCTGTCCATAGTTTTGGAGAATTACGCAGGGGCTGTATGAAGCAGGTCAAGCTCACGATCTGATAGCTTCAGGAGGATAAATAGGGATAATTGGTGCATCGTTTCTTTTTCACGAGATAAAAACGAAATATTATGGAATATTGACTTTTGTTATGTGTCGAATATGTTGTGTGCTGCTGTTAAAATATTTTCTGTTATAATTGTTATATCATTACATGTACTTAGTATATCGTGTTTTAACTTTCAAGGATGTGTAAATTTTAATCCTTCTTCTTTTTCTCGGAGAGTGATATGAAAATCTTGAAAAATATCTGTTAAATTTCCTTTTATAGAGGGTCAAAAAGTAAATATTTTTATAAATGGGTTTAATGTTTATTTCTTAAACTAATTTGTGGCACTTTGTGGTATTTAGCCACAAAAAGGAATCAACGTATCTGAAACAGTTCAACAGTGGCTACTTTTGATATCTAATTGCCGTACACATATATCGTTAATTTCTGTTAAATATTTAATAACCCGTCTGCAAAGCTGCAGAATTAGTAAAATAACACCTCTCACATTTAATGCTACCCGACCAATGTATAGAGCACAGATGCAGCCTCAAACATAATTATTCGCACTGCATAATTAATAATTACCATACAAAACTATGAGATGTCGTCAGCAAATTTGGACTGGAGTTGTTTAAAAAGAGGACAGACAGTGCAACCATCTCATCTCATGTCGATGACAAATACAACAATATCTGTTAACAGATACTGCTGCGTTTACCTCCAGTAACCACATTTGTTTTGGCTTTCAGGATACGTTCTTAAATTTCCACAGAATAATAATGTACAGCGCTGTACTCTTCAAAATAAGTACTGTCCCTTAATACTTATTGTAGCTACCGTGAGAGCAGTTCATTCGTAAAATATTCACTTAAATCGTGCAGTATTTGTTTAGACTTAAAGCTTAAATTACTTTATTTTAAAATCACGCTTTGGTCCTTAAATGTTATACATGATTACTTAGTTTGATTCACGCGGGACTACCATGATCTAATACTTGGAATTTAATTATTTAACTATCAAGATAAACGTCCAAGTTTATAGATAGTCTTTCGTAAGGTATAAAGTTCTAAGGCGGTTATTTGAACCGCGGCTGAGTCTGGTATAAGTGAGACAAATATTAATTTCAATATTTGTGTCGAATTATAATTGTTAATTTTTGATGATGTTGTTATGTTTAAGTTGCTTATTGTAGCAACACAATTTGTTCTATGTGAAACAGTTTGTATTATGGCAATTAACGAAGATCGTATTCAGTCGAAGTAACCAAACTTCTACCCGTGCAATATGATGGTCAGTGACTGAAGGTATTGGTTTTGCAACTTGTTCTAAAAGTTTCGTATTTTGCAGCTTTTAGAACTCCCATATTGGGAAACGCAATAGCTTGTAACGTTACCGTGACACGTGGTATCACGTGGTGACACACGTGATGAAGTGTCGTCATGGTAACGGGACAAGATTCTTCTTTGTCACGTACTGCGTCAGAAGGTTTCTTTGTTGATGCTGACTTTTTTGTATAGAATAACTGAATATCTCTTGGCGTTTTACTGCATTCTTGAAATATATTCCGGAATTTTATTTGCCACATTCACGATAGTCATTAGTCATACATATTTATCCAAGCACGTCACAGTTGAATAAATACGCCCCACCCAAAAATAGACCACAGAACTGCTGTTTTAAGGAAAAGCCGACAATTAGTTTAATTATCCAATTATAAAGCTAATAATATTCCTCCGGAACTATCTTCCAATTTGCATCTCAATATAGAGCAAGGAGTTACCAGTCGAATAATAGTGACATCACTAATATCACGACTACTTATTACGAAAGTTACCGGACGTAAAATTTACTTTTCCCAGTATTTACCGCTACAAATTTAGACTTCTGTGATACCCTTTGTTATAACAGAGATAAAGTACAATACCCACTACTACTACCACTACGGTACCTCTTAAATCATACTGAAGATGTATTTATTGAAGAGTGTTCTTAAAAATAAACTGCGCACAAAAGCTAACGGAACTGTCATTGTCTAGCTGCTGCACAGGCTTCTCTCTGCACAGTTACACTTCAGCACTGTCCTTCACATAAGTCCTTCACAGTAACAGCTCATTACCACAGCTGAAGTGCTCCTGAAGTGAAAGGAATAGCGCTAGGAGCAATGTTCACACAAATAGCGGTGTGTAAAGATGTACTTACAGCGACTAATAACTGTAGTGGAGAGAGGAGAGGTAAACTTCAGAGCGTGCTGCAGTTTACCAAACTATCCACATTACAGCGACTAATAACTGTAGTGGGGAGAGGAGAGGTAAACTTCAGAGCGTGCTGCAGTTTACCAAACTATCCACATTACAGCGACTAATAACTGTAGTGGGGAGAGGAGAGGTAAACTTCAGAGCGTGCTGCAGTTTACCAAACTATCCACATTACAGCGACTAATAACTGTAGTGGGGAGAGGAGAGGTAAACTTCAGAGCGTGCTGCAGTTTACCAAACTATCCACATTACAGCGACTAATAACTGTAGTGGGGAGAGGAGAGGTAAACTTCAGAGCGTGCTGCAGTTTACCAAACTATCCACATTACAGCGACTAATAACTGTAGTGGGGAGAGGAGAGGTAAACTTCAGAGCGTGCTGCAGTTTACCAAACTATCCACATTACAGCGACTAATAACTGTAGTGGGGAGAGGAGAGGTAAACTTCAGAGCATGCTGCAGTTTACCAAACTATCCACATTCCGGTAGGGAGAATTAACGATTAGCTATTGCACAGTTTATTACACAGGGTGTTTGGTATTATTGTATTTGGGTGATGTAATGCTGTAAGAAAATAATAACTGTAGTTTACACCTTTTACTTGAGCACTTCCTCGAGCGATCAAGTTACTGCTAACATTATTGGACAGTCTACCAAACATAATAAATAGTATTTAACACTTATTTATCAACCATAACAACTGATAATAGTCCTAACCATAGATAATACATATTTGAGATGGTATAGTCATGTTACTATGCATATGGAGTATGGAATTATTAGTGTCGATCTTTACATAGTACATACCTCAAATACCAAAGCGTCCTCGATCCTGCACACCCTTTTCGTAGAGAGATTGTGTGTATTTAGAACACTCGTAACCGTCTCTGTGTGATCAACCCTGGCCTTGTTTGTTAAACCTGGAAAGGTTCAAAGAGACAACATTCTACAGGAAACAGTAGCTTAGCTAGGATTGTGAGGGTTTAGTTAGTAATCAGTAAGTTCAATGAAACTGGGTCAGGTGTGAGTGTCAAACTGTCAGTTTAGTCCAGGGTCAATAGGGGGCGAGGCTCCAGGAAGAGAATGTGATGTTATGAAGTTATTTGGCATTCCGGACATAACTTACTTATGTTAATCTGACAGTTTTTCCGCTCAAGAGCCATAATAACCGATCTTCCGGCTATATTTCTGAAAAGAATGAACAGAGCTGGTAATACCTGTCTGAAGAAAGTTTTGTTCCAATTACCACGTGTAAAATACCTGCAAGCTGATTGGTTGTCACATATTATTGAAGATAGTATCGTGTAATGTGTATAATAGCTTCACATCTACCCACATAGCGTGTACCCAACATTAGCCCTGCTGTTCACTATGGAGCATAATATTTGTAGTGTTAAACACATGTACAGTGTATGGTGTTGTGTACAGAGAGGAGAATGTTGTAGTAAAGTGAGATTAATTACAGTTATTATAATAAACAGTGGAGTACAAGTCATTGTGCTGTTTCAGCAGTATGTAGAGACAGTAGACACCTACTTACGCCTCACGGAGATGTTAGATTAGTAACTATTTTACATTCCACTGTTGATTGGTGTGAATAGTGAAACACGACTCATGATACTGGTATAACAGTGAAATTAGAAGCCTCTAAGGATGTACACAGCTGGATCAGATACCCTAACTTGAGACTACTTATTAGTTTAATTGTTTACTGTCCGATGTACTGATACTTTTTGAAGTTTGGACGTTGTTTTAATAGTTGAAATTATGGTCGTGTGGAGATTAAATAATTTTTACTGCAGATTGTCTCCCAATCTTGCAGTTTAATAGAAGACATGTAATCTTCTTGCTCATTGCCAGTCTACAATATGCCCTGTTAACATTTGGCAGATCTGTGTGGTTGTCAGATCAGTGTGGTTGTCAGATCTGTGTGGTTGTCAGATCTGTGTGGTTGTCAGATCTGTGTGGTTGTCAGATCTGTGTGGTTGTCAGATCTGTGTGGTTGTCAGCTCTGTGTAGTTGTCAGATCTGTGTGGTTGTCAGCTCTGTGTGGTTGTCAGCTCTGTGTGGTTGTCAGATCTGTGTGGTTGTCAGATCTGTGTGGTTGTCAGATCTGTGTGGTTGTCAGATCTGTGTGGTTGGCAGATCTGTGTGGTTGTCAGATCTGTGTGGTTGTCAGATCTGTGTGGTTGTCAGATCTGTGTGGTTGTCAGATCTGTGTAGTTGTCAGATCTGTGTGGTTGTCAGATCTGTGTGGTTGTCAGATCTGTGTGGTTGTCAGATCTGTGTGGTTGTCAGATCTGTGTGGTTGTCAGATCTGTGTAGTTGTCAGCTCTGTGTGGTTGTCAGATCTGTGTGGTTGTCAGATCTGTGTGGTTGTCAGATCTGTGTGGTTGTCAAATCTGCCCCCTGTTACATTATTACAGTCTTGTGTAGTGTTACATTTTAATGGGCACCCTTGTGGACAGATGAAACCAGAAAAGTTGGCTTTACTGCAGTGCAGCTGAGATGATTTTAACTTTCAAAACATGAGGTCATCTGGTGATATCATAATACCGACATTAACTGTGAAGCCAAAGATTGCTCACATTTAGTTTAG